GCTACAGAAAGGGGACATTACAAAGGTACTCAAACTATCCAACCAGGAGCGAACTTGTAACAATGGTTTTAAATTAGACAAATTTAGATTTGGGCGTGAAATAGGTAAACATTGGTTTGGAAATAGAGTACAGTGGGGTATGCTATAACGAACGTAATTGGTTCCAGAACCTCGTTCGTTATAGCATTCATTCGTTATAGGATTAATCCGTTCCAGGCCCCCAAATACAACCACTTAACACTGAAAAAATTCTGTGGAAAATGTAAAAAATACGGTACTTTATCTTACCTTAGTGTTATTCAGCATGCAGGTACCCCTAAACACTGGCACATCACTATCACTTCCACTGGGAGTCTTGGCTTTAAGGTCCTCAAACAATTGTTTAGCCTTCTCACAAATTATAGCTTCACTAATGTTACCACCTGCCATTTCTTTCTCCTTTATCCACACTAAGAGTAAATTTTCCATCTCTTCAATCACATTACACTTTGCTTTGCTAAGTCTAAAGATTCCCTTAGCCACTTGCACAGTTTTTAACTCCTCTTTATTCTTCAAAATCGTACATATAGTCGATTTAGCCATCCCATATTCATCACTAAGTTTCGCAATGCTTCTTCCATTCTCACGTTTCTTTACAATTTCTTTCTTAGTTTCAAGGGTTATTAGCTTTCTCACTCGCTTTGGACGACTCATTGTTACAATTGTATACTTGTATAACAAAATAGTTATACAAATAACGCGAATTTCCACATCAAAAGACGAAATTTCAACAATAACAGTGGTGCACTGGCTACACAATGAGACAAAGATGGCGCCTGACGCTCTTGTTGTGGGTCGCGGTACAACAATATTCATGCGCCAGGCGAAATAGTCCCGTATTCATCCGCGTTCGTTGTAGGAGTTGTGTTCGTTATAGCATTCTCAATTTTATAGGTAAAACCGTTCGTTATAGGAATATTCGTAGTAGGATCCGTTCGTTATAGCATACCCCACTGTAGTGGACGAGTGGAACAAGTTGCAAATGTCATCATTAACTCGAATACGCTGGATAGCTTCAAACATAGGTTGGATGGATATATGAGCAGGGGTTGGGTGTAAGCACAGTAGTTAAGTCACCGAGGGGTAGCATTGAATGAGCACGCGTGCTGGCGGCAGGACAGGCTGAGCGGATGTAAAAAAAAAACATGCGCCAAGCAGTACATTTGGCACAGAATTTAACTGAATCATACTAGAGTTAGTGAACTAAGTAGTTCGCAAAATCGAGCAAAATTGACAAAGTTCGATTTAGTGGACATTTTGATGAAACGGAAAGGGGTGGCTCGAATTGGTTTGTTAAATCGAAAAATACTGTTAGTCCGGATTGTACGCACCGTTGTGGGAGGTTAGACCAAGCACAGCGGCTATGTCCAAATCATGTTCCCCTTTTTCAAATTTGCTTAATACATCCATTTTCATAGCAAGGGTAATGGTCTTACATTGCCTCTTCACTACACTAGCATCAGGAGCACTTGATGGGCACTTGTAAGCCATTTCGAATGGTTATAGTACAGTTTTAGAGCAAAAGCACTTAAGCACACACGAATGATGTGAAGTTGTAATAGAGACTGGCTTGGCGTTGCCTGGGGACGCTGTGACGTTCAGCGAGTGAAGGCAGCGCGCCTACCCGAGAGAGTGCACGGCTAGACAAGAGCGGGTAATGCGCCTTAGAAAGTAGTCCGTGACGACACAAAACGGCGTAGTATCGGATCCCTGGAACGTTAAGCAAATTTTTGGTCTCTTAAGTTTAGTGACGTAGTACCCAAACAACGTTAAGTGGGACGACGTTATAAGAGGATGCACTGTTCAGGTATTTGAAGAGTGACCTGTGTTGTAATGGTCAGCGAGTGGACCCAGGTTCGATCCCCGGGCAGGGTGAAACTGGGGGCAAGTTTCTCTATGCTATTTGCCTGTCTACCCAGCAGTAATTGGGGACCTGGATGTTAATCGATTTGCAGATCATATTCTGGGGTGATGGTTAGCCAGTGCAGTTGGCGAGTTGTCCAGTCTTCTCGGACTATTCCTGGACACTGGGTCATGCAATTCGTTAACTTGGAGTGTGGTTGTTGTGCTGGCAATGGCTACTACACCTTAAACAAATTCACGCCGAGGTGACCCTAGGGCCGGCCATCTTGTTTACACGAGGGGCAACCATTATTATACCTTTGTAAGGAGCCTAAGTACAGCACAGTTTTTTTAAATATAGAGCATATTTTTCTTGGGTAATTGGTAAGACTATATTAACCCTTACGTCCCGGGTGACATTCCAGAACATGTGCCTTTTCCCTCCACTGTTTAAATGCCCAGCGTGGGTTATCAGGTTCCAGTGTAACTATTTGCCTGTCATGCCACACGCTCGGCCCTGAACGTAATTACCTACTTTTGTTTGTTTAATTTTCATTGTTTGTCCATTTTATCATGTTGTATCAAAGTAATATTGCTAAAAGTAGTGTACAGCTGCTCCCCGACTTAAGGTCGAAAGCGGAAAATGCTTCAATAATACTGTACATAGAAAATCTAAAATGGGTGTCTCTTTTTCTTCTCAGCACCACAAAACTCCCACTTTTAAGCTTGCCAGCCATTTTAAAGTGAATTACAAACAAAAATTTTGTCAGTACACAGCGCAATCATTGACGTTGGGACTCGAAAATACATAATTTGAAAAAATTTTGGTACGACTGAGGCGGTCGTATGTAAGGGTGGTCGTAAGTCGAGAAGGTCGTAAGTCGGGGAGTAGTTGTAGTGTAGTATTACAGGAAAATAATGCTATGATTATGTTGTACAGTGGTCCCTCGGTTAACGAGCACAATTCGTTTCAGCAGGTTGCTCGTTAACCGAAACCATTGTTTCAATGGGTTTTTGGGTAATTGGTTCCAGCTCACCGAAAATTGCCTAAATTCAACAAAAAAGGTAGAAAAGTACACTTACTATGAGGTGTGTATGTAGAAGGCCCCTGGATGATGATGATGATGGGAATTAGAATGGGGGTGGAGGAGAAGGGGGAAGAGAAGGCATTGGGGTGGAAGAGAAGTCACCCCATGGCACCATTTCACCCATAAAATTTTAGTTCTCTTGGTGTAATTCAAGATTATTTTCTTTAAATCAACACTGCACTGCATTATATACTGTCAATATGTAAAATAAATTTCAAAATGACCAATAATTTGCTTGGAAACACAGAAAAAAAGCGTTTAGTTCAAGAGAGTCTCAAGCAAGATGTTACCTCCACTGAAAACAGAGAGAGACTAACGCCTGTCTGGTGTGTTAACAGGCTGGATGGCACGCCAGAAACTAGTTTCTTTATCTTCAGTTATGTTCAATAATTGTTAAAATTACTAAAAAAGTTAATATTAAACTTTTAAAATTATTGAATAGTATAAACTTCTTGATATTTACTATAATAGTAAGGAATTTAAGCCCTAAAACCGATTACTGTATTGGCGGACTAATACTACAGCTGGTGGACCGCCAAATGCAAGTGAAAACATGTTGAAGTCGGCTCGTAAAAAACTCGTTAATCGAGGGATTGCTCGTTAACCGAAGTTAAGAATCTTATGGAAGGTAAATCGTTAACCGAGGCGCTCGTTAACCGAGGGATCACTGTTAATGTATTTATTTGTGGAATTATTATTTTTTTATGCATTACTTGCTCTACCAAACACGAAGACAGCCAGACGGCCTTGCGACCGACTACCTGTGTGTTGTCAAGTACCTTTTATGAAAGATAATGCAAATGAAATATTCTAAATTAATTATTTATAGCAAATAATTATTATGATCAGTAAATACATGCATTACTGGCCATCTCGGAGAAGTTTCTAGAGGGTCAATATAGTTTTTCTTAATTTGTATTGTTTAATTTTTTGAAAAATTTATTTTTCTCAATTTACCCCCAGGTGGGGGGTACTGCCAGCAGCACCCTAACCTGGGGCTTAAAGGTTAAGGAGGAATTGTGTTTTATTGTTCAGTACAGAACAGGTGCTCCTCTACTTACGAACGAGTTATTTTCCTGAGGCTTGTTTGTAAGTCCAACTTTACTCTTGTAGATACCAAACATATTGTAAAAAATGAAAAGATTATGGATATTTAGTACAGTTATACCTTTTAATACAGCCTTAAAACCTGACTCACTCTTCTCCTCTTTGGTAATGTTTTTTCTATCTGGAATTTTCTTCAAAATAATCCAGTCTCATCCACATTAAATACCTGTTCTGGCAGGTAACCCCCCCTCAGTGATGATGTTTGTATCTCTGAAAGTTTGTAAGTTGAACGTTCTTAAGTAGAGGAGCACTTGTACTGTATACCTTTCCAATGTTTTTCCAATTGTTCTACAAAAATTTCCACATTCATTTTATGAATCTATTAAAATTCACATTAAAATTATACACATTTTGCTACCATTGTACTGTATAGGGTCCCCGGGTTACAAACAGGTTCTGTTCCTGAGGATGTTCTTAAGTTGGAACACATGCTATGTGCATACCATACTTAAAGAACAATGTTTAAAATTGCACTACTGTATATAATAGCCCAAGTCCTTGTATACATCTAAAATCACTTAATTTAAGACAAAAGAAGAAATAGAATGACAAAATACATTACCCGTACTGTAAATTTCAAGTTTAAACCTGTTCGTATCGACTGGCGTTCGTAAGTCGGGGATCCCCTATATTTACATTATGGCATCACTCCACCCATTTACAATGAAAATGTAATTACAGTACTGTACTTTAGCTGATAGGAATGAATAATTGACTACAGGTATTGTTCCAATATAAATTTGTTATAGTTACTGTACTGTTTTTTCTTTTCTTTTATGGAATTAAATTTTATTTTGGTTAAATGTAATTTGCCATTCTTTGGTTCAATTATTTGAGATGAAAATTAATCTTTTATATAAATGTGATGTATATTCTGTATATTGAATATATTCTGTATAGTGTACACACTTTAAAATTTTGCAGGACACGAGATGGGAGAGTGAAGTGGTGAGAAATCATCTTGCCCTTGTAACTACAGTTAACAGATTGTAGTTAACACAGTGCTCATTTGCAAGTCAGTTTTCAAAGAATAGTGTTAAGTTATAACTTGTATAAAAAACGAATTATAATAAATGAAACTATATAAACAAAAAAGTGATCCCGGGGAAACGAATACTGTATACTGTAAGTGACTTCAAAACTCATAATACTTTGTGAAAGGTGATTCTAACCTAGATAAGGAAGACATTTGTTAAACACAATGAAAAAAAAATAGATCTAATTGAATAGAGCAAATTTTATGCAACATTTAAAGGCTGTAACACAATGGCAGACCTTACACAAAAGCAAGAGGAGCTTCTCACCGAAGTTACAAATTGTCTAAAGGCACTTCTCACTGCTTTTGGTGGGGAGGTCCAGATGGATAAACTTGGCTGTAAGTTATGAGTTGTCTTTTTTGCCATAATTGATTGAAAGATTAATGTGATAAGCTATTGAACACTTTTGTTTCTGATGAACAAGAATTAGGTAGCAACTGGTTATCCTTCAACAAAACATGTTAATTTTCAGCTGAATACAGAAAAGTGGTAGGGACGGACATTCCCTACAGGCAGTTAAATCATAGTACTATAGCCAGTTTCCTGCAGTCAATTGACAAGGTAAGTAAATACTACAGTACAGTATAGTGTTGTTTTAGTTTCACTTTTAGATCAGGTAAAAAATACTCTAATATTTTTGGCTCTCAGCTGCTGCCACATGCACAAAAAACCCACTTTGGGATAAATTTTATTACCTCCAGTAAATGAAATTGAGCAGTTCCTTCCAGTTTCCTGGGTGCTTAAATGATTGTTGACGATAAACCCATTACCAACAACATGCTGGGCGACTATAGTCTGTTCATTATGGAACTGTCAAATTTGAGCAAGAAATATAGTGCTGAAAATCTAGATTTATGAAAGAAATACAATAGATGCATCCAAGAAAATGAAGCTTAAATGGGAAAATACATTTCAAAAGTTAGTTAAGGAAGCTGATGATTTAGCACAAAAAGGAGACAAAGAAAGAAAACTGCCTACTTGTCAATCCATTACATTAAATCCAAGGTCCTTGGAAGTTAAAAGTGTTTTGGAAGATACAGTTAATAAAATTGTAAAACTTGAAGATGAATTGAAAAAATAAAAATTCATGTTGCACTGTTGTTACAGGACATCTCATTGAATTCCCACAGCCTGTCATGCCTAGCTTCTTTGCCAATTAAATGCCAATTAAAGTACTGTGTGCACTCAATCAATCCAAGTACTGTCCTCATATCTGAGGGTTGGCAACCACAGTCTCCACTATCTGCACGGAGTGTATTTAAAGACCAGATTTGCTTTTTCATTAATGTACTGTTCTATGGACTTTTTTTCCCTCAAATTGCATTGTTCATGTGTGAGTTATATTTTTATATTTTGTTTACATAGGGTAGCTTGTGTTCAGTTATTGTGAACTATTGTTTGTTGAATTCATATAATAAGCTGATAAAAAATAAAGTTGGGTGGAAAGTGAAAGCTATAAGGGGAGGCCTCAAGTCCTTACAGTATTACTGTTAAAAAATTCGTTTTACTAGTTTTCACCCTCATTGGGCTGTCCTGAAGGATTTAATTTTATTCAGTTTTGGTCATTTACTTAGTTATAATGCATTAGTCACATTTCATTATAAAGTTAGTTGATAAAATTTATCTTAGCCATTTTTGGTAGTGTTCCATTGTTGTTAACTCCTAATTTGGAACGGAAAAATCTTTCTTGGGTCTCATATTTTCCAATTAAGTGATCCCATACTGGTATTAAAATGTCTATATTCATCATGAGACATGGCTACTTTCTCTATTTTAAACAGGTTGCGACCTTAAAAAATCGAGGTGGGATTCTCTATGTGCAAATGGTGAATGATAAAAGCGTGGACAACATCCTGAAAATGGTACGAGAACAGAAAACTTCAAGGGGATCTCGAAAACATTTTAAGGTACAGTACGTTATGTTCATAAATTTACTAATAAATTGTTTATTGGTGCTAGAGCAAATTTGATTATGGTAAGTGTTGTTATCCAAAATTATTTTGTTTGATTATTTTCACATACTGTACTACTGTACAATATTTGTGTAGATGTCTAAAGGTAAAAAAAATACTGGAAAAGTTGCCAATTTCAGTATTACTGGGAGGTAGAGTGGGAGGAATAGACTACAGACCGGTTGAACAATACATGTAAGAAAATCAAAGTGAAATGCTTTTGATTACCGTGCTGTATGTACTGTCATTTTTGAGAAAGAAAAAACACTACCCCTCAAATTAATGTACCATATAGGTATCCTTCATGTAAAACAACTTCACTTAACATAGTTTCATTATAATGTAGCTGTTAATTTAGGGAAAATGGTGAGAAAGACGTTGGCTTAGTGTTTCTTACTGTTCACCTTGTTTCAAATCTCATCCAGTTTCTTTCAAAGTACTGTACAGGTATAAAATTATTACTGTACTGGACTGCATGTACAGTATTTCACTAATGTTTATTATTGGTTTATAATTATTGTGTACACCTAATTTTTTTATTTTTATTAAAACATGTTTTGTGGTAATGTATTTCAAGATATTTGGGAAATATTTATTTATATATTTTTTTGTAGGAGTATCTCAGATTTTGTAATGGGAGTCTATGGGAAAATTTGCTTTGATTTATGAAAAATTGACTTATGAAAGGTTTTTCAGGAACAGAACTCTTACAAAATTGGGAATGCCTGTTATTGGATTTTAACTGATTTTGAAATGGTAAATTAGGAGGGAATATGCTTTCTAATTAACAGGCACCTTCCCTTTGCCTTTCACCTTTGTTTTCTGAAAATTAGAGATCATGCCAGGAATAAAATTTGGTTGGCATAGATTAGCTTTCCATCAAGGTTTCACCACTGAAAACTAATCATAAAAGAAAATTTATGAAATTAAGTGAATTTTATTAATTTTTTACATGATTTTTATTCTTTTACTTGTGCTGTGTAGTATAATTTCAGGATTTCCATTACAGCCTGCACGTCAGCCAAGAGGTCCATCTGCTTGGCAACCAGGAGCACCTCGTGTCGGCCCACGTTATGGACCCCCAGTAGATGGGGCTTTTAGAGTCAGAAGGGGACGCACTGAGCTAGCTCCTAAACCAAACAATCCAAAGCCAAATAATTTACCTGGACCAAAGCATCCTCTAATCCCAAATATACCTTATTCAGCTTCTCATATTGCAGCTTCAAAACAGCATCCTACCTTCAAACCTAATCTACCTCTACAATCTGAAACAACTGAAGCTAAACACAGTAACCAGGCCTTGAAACCTGGACAGTACTATAATGATGGAAACTGGAATATTCCTCGTACCATCCGAGGAAACCAAGAAAAGCAGTTTGCTCCATATTATGTGGTGAGAATTTTCTTTATACAGGTATAAATAAAAGTTGGTATAGGTTCCCAGAGTGGAGTGTATAAGGGGTTGACATATTCCATCATTCTGTTCAATTGTAGTTGAAATATTATGAAATGTTAATATCAATACAGTACATTTAGGCAGATGTCATATTATCATAATTGTCTTATATCTCAAGTGTTATCCAGTTATCTCGACATCATGATTGTTTACAGTGTTTACAGTAATGTAGGTTTTTTTTTATAGATACAATATTGGAGTGAAACTTAGAAGTGTGGTAATGGAGAGCAGAGAAAGTAATAAATATCTATTTCGTACTCTGGAACTATAACGTAACAGTTTTGTAGATAAATTATCTGTTTTAATTTACAATATAGAGGTATTAAGAAACCACTCATTTTTTTACTCCCTGTCATACATAAGCTGTACACAATTGTCTGAAGTTGGTTGCTTTTCTACCTCTCTTTCTTTTCATTTGGGTAATAACTCCACCCACTTCTGTTTTCTGGTACCAGAGGAATGGGAGCGAGCATATGCATAAAGTATTTTGTCAAACAGAATTGAGATGCAGCCCAAGTACATATGCTAATTAGTGTGTAAAAAGGATGAGAAAGGGTGACAGTATAGTCAGTCTCTGCAATAATCTTATTTAGCTTTGCACACCAGCATCCAGATGCTCAAAAATCACAAGCTGTCTTCAATATTGAGACTTGTACTTACTCTTTACTCATGGAGTTTAACAGGCTTTTTGTGTGATTGGTGTAAATAAGTGGGCCATAATTTCAGTAATGTCTTCTGTTATTCCATGGGTCAGTAAATATGATGAATTAATTTATGAATATCAAAATGAAAATCTGGCTTCTGAATTACCTATCTAGGTACTGAAAAGAAAGAGACCTAATTACAGAAAAAATGCTACCAGCAGTAACTTTGAATTGTTCCCAGTCTGATTTTATAGCAACTTCAGGAATATCTTCTCTTCCAACAGTTTCCCTATCATGTAATAGAAGTGAATTTTTTTATACTGTACTGTACTATATTTCTCCAACAGGTTCCACCACGTTTCACCAATAATGCCAAAAATACGGAAAGTAAACCAATAGAAAAGACAAATAAACAGAAGTTACAAGAGGAGGTGCAGAAATTAAATGAAGAACAAAAGCCTGTCTTTCGCACAATTCCTTGGGGAAAAAAGAAGCAGAACTGGTTGTCTACTGTGAGCGTAAGTTATAGTTTGTAAAGCACAGTACATGTTAGCTCATATAGCTGTCAGCCATTACTAATACGATGGTCAATAAGTAATGAGACAAATGAATATAACTGCAGAAGTAATGATTCAATATTAATGATCACAGACCTATTTTTCCACATAATCTCTCTCTGCAGCTACTCACTTACACCATCTTTCTACGAGCTCGAAAAATTCTTTCGGCTGACTCCGTAACCAATTTCGGGTATCTCTCTTCAACTTTTCATTGTTCGAAAAATGTTTTCCACATTGTGTACGACGTTGTGTACTGTACCAACACTGGCATTCAAATCTGTCGCAATTTGTTCAATTGTAATTTGTCGGTTTCCCCTAATTTTCCACTTAATGTTCTGCTGCAATGTGGGTATTGAAACTTCGACAGATTTTCTGGCATGATCTTCATCCACAGTGCTTGTTACACCATTCTTGAATTGTTCAACCCACTTGTCAATGTTCGCTTGGCTGATGCAGTTGCTTCCATATTGAAGTGACAATCTGTGGTTAATTTTGCTTAGTTTTATCCCTTCCAAATTTAAATTAACGAATAACAGAGTCCTTTTCCTTCCAAAGTTACAAAATTCAAGCAGAGCGTTCATTGTTAATGCAACACTTACTCGAGACAAATCAATTGAACTGACTAAACAAATGGATGAAGATGTATCTTATGCATGTCTGAACATGGTCGTTGTGCTTGTCCTACCCTTTGCCATCTACATCAAAAGTCTCGTTACTTATTGAATGACCCTCGTATATATACAATATACAGTACAGTACAGTATATATATATATATATATATATATATATATATATATATATATATATATATATATATATATATATATATATATATATATATATATATATATATATATATATATATATATATAAAACAAAAGCTGTTGCATTGTCAGGGATGTAATTACCACAATCAGTCAATGAATCATTATCTAAGTTCCACATATCCATATCATCTAGACACACTAATGTATTTTTTTTTTGTCTGTAGATTGGTAAGATAAAAGTGAGCAGCTACCCAGAGGAGATGGAAAGACCTGAGGATGCAGAAGAGTTGGTGGCTAAAAATGCATTGCCATTAATTCAGCAACTTATTAAACAAAGCCTTCCCATCACAACTAATCTTGAAGTATCCCTCCAAAGGGTTAAAGTGGTATGTACAGTAATGTTTGGGAGAGTGCATCTGTGCATGACTGTGTTGTAGGATTGTGTGGATAAATCACAAAAATCAGGATATAGTACTCATATGTGTGCCTTTTGCTTTATTTATTGGCAAAGGCTTAGTGGTTAGTACAGTATAGTGATGGAGACTAATTGCCACTACGTATACAGTATATATATAGTGGAGTCTTGATAATCTGCAGGTTAAGTACCAGAAGATATTGTAAATTATCAAATCACAAATTATAGTTTAATTGCTTTAAATGGAAGTACAGCTCAGTACTGAAATTAGTTTGGTTCCAGAGATCAAGAAATACACATAAACTGTAACAAAATTGTTTTGATAAATAGTAAACATCATACATAAAAAAAATGCAGTAACACATAAATATTGTGCAAAAAATAGTTCTGCTTAACATAAACAGCTCCTTTCCTCTCATAATTTTGTGTTATGCCAATACATCAACATGGAGATGAGACCACATTATGTAAAAAAAAAATTAAAAATTTAATACCACACAATAACTCTTCTGGGGTTAAGTGTGGGATTTTATTTATATATTTTATTTATTTATTTTATTTATTTATTTATTTTATTTTTTTACATTTATTACTCTGATTACTATGTTTTATTAACCTAGTACTAATTTAACCTAAATAATATGGGAATTATGGTGAAATTAGATAATGTTTTAATGAGGTCAGACGGGCACCGAGCGCTCGGGAATGAGGGTGGGGGTGACAAATTCTCCCGAGTTAGATTTCTTGGAGGTAAAAGTGATTTTTTTCACTGTTATTTTTGGGATGAGACCTTGGTACTCATAATATGTAGGTGGTAAGACTAGTGGCTGGAATCAGTATTGGATATTTTCATTAACATGGTAACAGTTCAAAGAATTTTAGCCCTTTTTTTTTTTTTTTTTTTTTATATAATTAATGTTTTTGATCATTGCAGCTATTAAAAAAAGAAAACATGTGGTGGCCACGGGTACAAGAGCTTTATCAAGATAAGTACCAGGAGCAGTTGCCTGAAGACTACTTTCAGAAGATCCAAAATCATGACAACTGTGGCATCTTCGTTGAAAATCTCTGCTCTGATCGTTGGGTTCTCAGGCTGGCAGAAGAGGTAAGCTACCATTTATTCCTTATTTTTTGCATGCATGTAATATTGCCTCATATTTTCTTGTTTCTTTACCAAACCTGGCTTAGAATACAGCAGAAGTTAACTTGTGGACGCATCAATTTTGCAACATTTTCTCTGGACATCAGTTGTGCACTACTAGCTGCTTATGAAAGCAATAGCCTATTCATGCACTTAACCAAACAGCAACCTCTGATCCTACCATCAGATTCAAAGAAGAGTTACAACAAATTGTTTATTGAAAGAATGTTGAACATTTAGAGTTTAACAAGCAACTTGCTTGTCAGAACCTCCTCTATTGTCATCCACTGTACAGTATTTGATTTGATTATCATCTTCATGTTTATTGTTGTGCATCCCATGACAGCATAATATATGACTGTGCTCCTCAGATCTGACAGATGTGATGATTATTCACCGCTACTGGTTTTCTTTCACAGATAAACAGCCTTTTTGATATATACATAATGGCAAAGTGCTCCTTTTACTATAATTAAAATGAATCGGGTAACACACGAGTTGACATTACTGGTTAGCAAAAGTAAGGCCTCATCACAAGATTAATGGTGAGTTCCTGAGCACATATTCGTAGAGAAAATAGCCTAAGATTCCCCCAACTACTTTTAATTAGATAATGCCTTCAGAATAGTTATGAAGGGACTGTTCCACTTTGATGGTACTGGATAGTTTTCATGTATGAATCCTGGGGAACGTTCACTAGGATACCTCAAGATTGTACAATTTCTGTAATGAGACTTTTAAGTATTGCTTTTCATAGTATTGGATTTGTTTAAATTTATTTACTGAAGCATAATACTGTATTGTACAAGGCTCTTGTACATGTTTCCTTATAATTTCTGTAATATTTCTGTAACTGGAATAATATATGTACTGTAATCATAATGGGTAATTGTTCTATCTTCAGGTGAATCAAGTTCAACCATCCAGTGTGCTTCCAGAGTCTGGTCATTGTAATGTTCTGCCACAAGAGAAACAACAATATCATGGTCAACCACATCTTCATTCTCCTAAAATGAGTGAAGAACTATGTGCAAGTACTAGAAAGTAAGCAGTTTCATTTTCTCAAATTTGTTTTCAAGTTTGGAATATTTGTATACAGTATCTAAGATTGAAAAAAAAATTTAATTTTATATCATATGCATTTTAGGAGATTCATGCCACTAATGCATGCCCTGGCAGAGTTTACATTTCTCCAATAGATGCTGGTATTTTATATGTGGTAAGACATATTATCCAGGCAGGTACTACATTGTGCTGCGCAAAAACTCTCACCCAATGAAACTGGGCCTTATCATTGCTTTGAACACTTAACACTCTAATTAAAAACCGTAAGAAATGTATACAACAAAGTATAAAATCAATCCTGATTAAGTTAAAAACAATTTTTTTTTTTTTTTTTTTTAAATCCTGAATAGTGTCTCTCTCTTTTTGCAATGATTGTTCAAACAATAACTGATCCAAATGGGCATCATACAGTTACGTATACACCTCATACGATATGAACGCTTCAACCGTAGCCTACTCACCACAGTGATGACTATTGAGAGGTGCATATGATAACAATCTGTTTAAATATTTAATTTCATTATTTTATACTGTATATAGCTTCTCGGGTGACTCGGGTCACAGCTTTATTAAGCCAATTGTTTATCCAAACTCTCTCTCTCTCTCTCTCTCTCTCTCTCTCTCTCTCTCTGTGTACGTTCATCCAAAATAAATTCAGCATCTAAGTGTATGGTTATATCTATTAATAAAAGAATTATAATTTGTCAGATTATCCAATGAATATGAATACTTTGCCCAAGAATTTGAATAGGAATGCAAATACTAGGATTTATAATAATAATGTATTCAAATACCCTGAAATGCTATATTCAAATGCATTCAAATACAAATACTCCATCCCTGCTCCCAGGTCCCAAGCATTCCAGATAAATGGTTCCATACCTGCATATCCTCTCTCCCTTTCCTAATCATTATTTTCGTTTCTACATTTTATTTTCTCATCCTGTTTGGTTCCATTCAGAACATCTTGTTTTTTAGTTTTGACAACTGCACCATATATTTTTTTTCTTTTCTTTTATATCCTTTCATTATTCTCTTTATGCTCCTTAATACAATCTTTGCATGAGGTTTATCATTAATATGAGCTGTCATATAAAGTAATAAAGACTGGACTTATGTTTTCATGTGTAAAAGATGTTGCGATAACATTATTATCCATTTTTTTTTCCAAGAATTGTTTTTCTTTCATGATATGAACATACTGTATTACCTTATATTTCATCCTGTCTGTTTCACTGTATATATTCTTTTACTTTTCAGAGAAGAACCACAATTGCCACCAATAAAACTCCCCTGTGGGAATTTTTGGGATATCTTGGTTATACACGTTGAAGACTTTAATTGCGTGAATTTCCGTCTAGTTGGACCTGAATACACTGTAAGTTAGAAAAAAGTCCCTTTCTATAATAGACAATATGGTATTAGTTCAGAGTTCAATATTTCTAAATTATTATTAGGTAATGTACAGCACAGTGGTCCCTCAATTAACGAACACAGTTGGTTCCACAGAGTCATTCGTTAACCGAAAATTTTGTTAACTGAATCTATTCTTTCAGTGGGATATTGGGTAATTGGTTCCAACTCACAGGAAAAGTATACATACAAAGTACTGTATACCAGTAATAGAATTAACAAAACATTAAATATAAACTAATTACAGTACTGTACTGTACAGTATACTGTACAATAATAAACGAAAACAATGGAATACTGTATTTTAACTTACTTTGAGGTGTATATGTCGTATTCCCGGCAGCTTTGTTTACTTATCAAACAACTGATTGTAGAGGCAGTCAATGATGACATGCCATATTCTTTACAGAGTTCATTGGTTCTAATGCCTTCTTCATGTTTCATAATAATTTCTGCACTGTATATTATCAATATGTTAACCAAATTTCAGAATGACTAATAATTTTAATGTAAAAATATTCAAGAGACCAACAAACTCGATGTTCACTGTAAACAAAGTTAAACTGAGAAGCGTTGGTGGGTGATTTGATCAGCTGATGGGCACACAAAAACTGTTCCCTGTACAGTATATATTATCAATATGTTAATTAAATTTCAGAATGACCAATAATTTTAATATAAAAAATGCAAAAACATTCAAGAGCACAACTTTCTTGATATTTACTCCACTGGAAACGAATGTAAACATAGAACCAATTACTGTATTGGTGGACTAGCCAATCAGCTGATGTGCACAACAAAGCGTGTTTCTCATTAGGCTGTCGTTAATCGAAGTTTTGTTCATTAATGGAACTGAAAATCCCTATGGGAGCTAATTCGTTAACCGAAATTTCGTAAATTGAACCGTTCTTTAATCGAGGGACCACTGCACTTTGAAATAGGTGGTAGACTTCTTGATATCAGTATTTCTCTGGGAGAAGTGAGTTAGGTTTCCTTTCTTTGACTGATGATCCTTTTATTAGGCCACATTGACAATGCAGTAACTCTTGCTTGTCTGTTACGTCTTCAAATTTCATTTGCTCTTTATGGTAATTGCTATTTCCCTGCAAGTATGTCTCTCTTTTTTGTGTGCTTGCAAGTTTCAGAGTTTCATTTTTTTTTTTTTTTTTTTTTTAACTATATCGTATGTGTGTGCTTGCTTAAGTGCCCATACTGGAATGAGGAAATAAGCAGTTAACACTCGAATGAAAAGATGCTTCAGTGAGGTCTGTCAGACCACGTGGAACTTAATACATGGAGAAATATGCAAAGCTGTCCGAGGGAAGACACGAAAGATCCCTGTAGAATAAAAAATTTTACAATTTATAAAAGCCCTTAAATCTTGTTGTGGCCTCCAGTTTGAGAACCAGTGCAGTTAGTCTAACACTATTAGAACAGATGCTGTGAATAAAAGTTTAAACACTTTTTTGCTAACCATAAATATTTTCGCCCGTGCCCGTGGTCTAAGTGTAGTCAGAGGATGTTTGCCCATGGGAGATGAGATACATAGTTTAGAGTCGAGATGAAATACGTAGTTTAGACTCGAGGAAAACTTTTCTCGGCACCCAGAATCATTCCGGGGATGTGTGATAGTGTCTGTCCGTCTGAGGTGCTTAGTTTAGACCCAGAAACTTTTCCCAGTATCCTGTACTTAGAAAAATTCTGGGGATGTGGGATTTTTTCCAGCTTTGTGAAAGTCGTCTCATTACCCGGATATCTCCCATTCCCGAAAGAGCTCTGCACCCATTGTTCTGCCTAACGGGGATAAAACTGTAGTGTATTATGCACGTGCATATATATAATGGTTTATTTATTAATCAGTTGTCTTATTCAACAAGTATCAAAATCAAGCCATCATGTATCACTTAAAGGTAACAAATACTGTTATGAATGTATCTCCATATCAATTACTATACAGTACAATATAGTAGATTCGCAACTTACGCGAGGGTTACGCTCCTGGGACCTTACGTAAAGCCAAAAAATGCGTAAAGCCAGAAACACTCTTAAAAATCCCCTAAATCTCCCTTATATCACTATATATATGTACATATGCACTAGATGGGGGAGGTGAGGTGATGCATTGTGACAGTGGGCACCAAATGTCTAGTGGGTAGTACTGTATTTATTTATCTGTCCTTTAGAGTGACTTTAAAGCTTTTCTCTCAGAAAATGTCACTGAACTAACCTGCGAGAATAAAACTTACATTGCTGGGATTCTTGTAAGACAATGATTAATTTTAATATAAACATGCTATAGTTTGCAACTAGACATAAAAATTTTAATAATTATTTAGTACATTTGAGTACATGTACAGTACAGCTTTGCCCTTAGGACAGTGTGTGCATGTAAATGAGTAAAAATAAATGAAGAAAGCTACGTATATCAAGCCAAAAATATTAGTTGAAAAACTTTATGTAGACAGACCTGTGTTGTTGTTTTGAGATTATTCATCCCCTTCCAACGTCACCGTGGGGGGATCATCAAGGTCGGATAACGATGCAGGGGAGGATGTGGGCAGCTCAAGGTCACTGTGAGAAGTTGAGGGTGTTGGCTGATTTGCTGACGATGTTGATGCTGAGGTTTTCTTAAAGAACATGGTGATGGGAAGCTGTTGTTGTTGTTTCTTAAGCTACTGGTACATATTCTTATACTGAGCCATAAGGCTCCATAGAGGGGTCATACTCAGACACATAAGTTTTCAAGTGCTCGGTCACCTGAAACACTTCACTAAACTTGTGTATATCCCAACATGCTGGCTCTTCTTGTTCTTCATCATCGTCGTCACCACCGCAGTCTTCTTCATCCACTCTCATTATTTCCTCCAACTCGGCATCAGCCAGAGTTTCCCTGTGCCCTTCAGTTAACTCCTCGATTTACTACTCGACCATGTTTTCAAACCCATCACCGCTTACAGCCCTGGCCACTGTCATAATGTGCTTAACTTAAGAGTTGATCGTAGGGAATCCTTTGAAGTAATGCACACAGTCACTCCACAGTGCCTGCCAACACAAATTAACCGACTGGTTTCAGTGCACCCATGGCCTCCTTCATAAAAGTGATGCAATTGGCAATGCTGAATTCCTTCCAGTATGCCATAACACTTATCAGTGCCGTCCTCCATGGCGTTGCGAATGTGGACGAAGGTTAGGTGTGCAAACGCTGCCTTAAAACACTGAATCATGCCCTGGTCGAGAGGCTGGAGGATGGAGGTGGTGTAGGGTGGAAGGACCACTACCTCGACATAATCCTGTGCGATTTTATGGCATCCGGGTGGCCTGGTGCGTTGTCAACGACTAGCAACACCTTGAAAGTCAGGCCCAGCTTCTCTAGGTAGCTCTTTACCTCAGGGATAAAACATTTGTGGAACCACTCAAAGAAAAACATTGCTGTCACCCAGGTTTTCTTGTTTGACTGCCAGTAGACGGGGAAGAGATTCTTATTTTTTCCCTTCAGAGCACGATGGTTGGCAAACCTATAAATCATGCCTGACTTGATCATATGCCCTGCTGCATTGCCACATAGGAGGGTGATGCGGTCCTTCGCAGCCTTAAACCCCGGGGCCTGCTTCTCAGACTTGGAAATGTAGGTTATGATTGGCATTTCTTCCAAAACAAACCTGTTTTGTTGAAGACCTGCTCTGGAAGATATCCATTTTCCTCAATCAATTTCCTGAATTCGTCTGGGAACACCCGTGCTGCTGCCTCGTCCGCTGATGTCGATTCGCCAGTGATTAAAATATTTTTCAGGTTGAAACGCTTCCTGAAACTGTTGAGCCAACCAGCACTGGCTTTAAAATTCTTCTCAGAGCTGGTGGATGCTTTGCCCTGAGGAACCTCAGATTTAAACTGGTCATAAAGACTCGGTGCCTTCTCCCTGAGCATGTTGCTGTCGATGGGGACACGTTTCTGGTTCGTACCCTCTACCCAGATGTTTAATGACTTCTCCACCTTCACTAGAGTTACAACTCTAACCTGGCTCGTTACCTTAACAGTAAATGAGGCACTTGTAGATACGGTATCACGAATTTCCTTCTCCCGAATCTTAACGTACCTCACGCTTGATTTGTTGCATCCGTACCTCTGTGCTGCCACTTTTCTTCCAGGGTCATCACAGAGCGTAGTTTCTTCACTGGAAGACCAGAGGCAGAGGTTGGCTTGTGTTTGGGCATTATGAACGAGTATGAGAGAGTTTTAAGCACACTAAATTGACACACACGAGAGGCAGGTGTTACCCCAACTGTACCCACACTGCAACTGAAGACAAAGAGATGGGATGGCGGGGTGGAACTTTGGCGGGCTAGTGTTTGGCACACTTATGACCCATTTTGAAAATTTTGACTTTGAAATTGGAAATTGTAACCTAATTCCCGGGGTAATCCATGTATAGTTGAAATCGTGTAAGAAAAATACACGTCAGTTGCAAGTCTACTGTACAGTTTTCTGATTTGGTGAAAGCTATCTTTCTAAGAACACAACCTGAGCTTTAAAGAGGTATTACTGTACATGTTAGAATGCATATGTGTACTGTACCTCTAATTACTTTAATTCTTTTTGGGGAAAAATTCCTCGGTATAAAACATTTCACTAAAAGTCGCATTTCTTTGGAACACGTTCCCGACGCATAATGAAGACCCCCCTGTACAGCTTTAGGAATTGTTTCATATAAAGTAGAATATCCTTTGAAAAAAAAAAGTGGGGGGGGGGGATGAACATGTAAAATATCCATGGATGTTATTGTGAGAGCAGCAGAAGAATTATGTACTACATATGATACAAAACTGTAATTCATGTATTAATCTAGGGAAGGAGACTAAGGTTTATGGCTTTAACGTTGTTACCATTAACACTCCTAACTCCCCCAAAATATACCATATTCCACCTATTTTTTAATGTAGATAATATTTTTTTTTTCAGGGTGCACATGATGACTTAGTAACAGATATGGAGCTATATTATATGGAAGAAAAGAATCTTTCTCCTGTTACTGGTCCAAGCGTAGGTGGAATATATGCAGCGGGTCACGAGGAGTCATGGTTCAGAGTGAAGGTGCTAAGTATTTCTGGTGGGTAAAAACTCTCATGGCTATACTGTATGGGTTTAGCTGACATCAATTTTGTATTGTTTTTCTTTGGACTAGGAATGTAGTTCTTTTAACCCCATAAAGTACAGGGATTGAAATATGTTATATTCATTTGGATGTTAGAAAATATATATATTTTTTATCTCTTGTTTGACCATATTTTATCTCAGTACTCTGCTGATTTATTCATATACCCAAATCTCCAGTGCTATCCCAGCCATCCTAATCCTGGAGTTTAGTAAACTTAGTACAGTATATTCATGTTGTACCGCATTGTCTACCATTGTCTTTTAAAAATCATTGCTTTACCTTTTCTACATATTCTCCCAGTTGCTGTTTTATGTTGCAACCATAAAATTTTTCTTCGTTTATCTAGTCTTAACTTTTCTCTCAATCTTTAATGTTACTTATCACACCGTCTATATTATTTTAAGCCTCCTCATTTACCATTTCTTAAAATTTTTGTGTTACTTGGCTACAGTTTGAATTTGGGCAAAATAACCAAAGTTATTTTTCTCTCTAAGGTGATAAAGTCATGGTCCTCTTCATGGATCATGGAGACAAGGAAGAAATAGATCTGACAAAGCTGCACCACCTTCAGAAGAGATTTTTTTATCTTCCACCACAGGTAAAATAAAATTTGTCTCATGTTATCCTTTGGATTATGTGCATTAGATATAGTCTTGCAAGTCATTACAGAATTATAAGTGTGCTTATCTGTAACCAATGTGTCTATAAGTTTAGAATAAATTGTATCAGTAAAATTTTGCACAAATTTTATCTGATCACCTTAAATACATGTGCAGTACTTCACTGATTTACATTATTCATATTCTCTCAAGCTTCAGTTCCTTCATGGATCAACTTCTGCATACCTATTCCATCTCCCAGTCATTCATCTCATTGCAATATTATGGGCAAATGATTGATATGCAGTAGACAGCAAGATCTTTTATTTCGCGAGAAATATAGACTGGAAAAATTGCGCCAAATTCAAATTCGTTAAATGCAAATACATAAACTACTGGGAAATATAACAATATAGACTGGCCACTCTACATCAACCTCCAATTTTCCCATTTATAACCTCCAAATGATACAAATTCTGCCTTTATTGACCTGATTGTGCTTTCCGGAAACTAGTTTTTAGGCCTTCCTCATGTAACTTAATCACATGCTTATCCTGCATTGAGTACTTGGCAAACTTAACTCCCTTATGATAGTTCTGCTTCTCCTTTTCCTTATTTGGCCGCTTAGGTGGGTCTTTCCCACCCTCACTAGCACCAGTAGGACCCCCAGTAGAGGTAGAGGCCATTATCTTAACTCGACAGGTGGAAGCACCACCCAAAAAAGCACACAATAGCAGCCCGGGCGGTCGCTAGGATGGCGTGGGCTACAATGGGATACTTGCGTTCTTGTAAACCTCTTTTTACGTTCACCACCGCCAATTCGATCACCAGAGCGCTTCTTGGAAACATTCTTCTTACCTTCTCTTCCCATATTCATAACTAACACGACAAAATTGGTGAAAACAGTGAAAATCACGGAGCAATCGACAGAAACCGCTCGATTCAACTGATCAGCGCTGGTATAAACCGTTTTATTGGTCCTCACTGTGAAACATTCTTTTTACTTATTCTTTTCATACATTATTTATGGGTAATAACTAAATTTGCAAAAAAAAAGAAAAAATTTAGAGTACCTCTCAAAAAACACTTCACAAACAGTAGACACGAATCAATTGAACATGTGATGTCTAACATGAACTCTATACATTGCATAACCCCGTGCCACGCTTAAAACGTTGAGGATGGAATCGCGCTATAGCCAACATTCGTATGCAAAAGTTCACGTTTTACAAACATCGTTTCCCTATTCATCAATCGCGATACAACCAATTCGCGTTGACAAAACACGAGTTGTAGTAGAAATGACTGTAACTGGTATGAGGGCTGTGATGTCATTCAAGACGGTGGCCAGCATTCAGCTGGCTGGATCTCGTGAAATTCACGATATTTTATGCCAAATATAAGACTTGGTTACATTAGGTAGTGCTCGCGAAATAAAATTGTGCAAAATATGAGATCTTGCTGTACAGTGTTTGCAAAAATTATTGATCTTAGTTATGTAAAGTATCATCTCTTTTAGCCAGAATCTTCGATCCCTGGAACTCTCCAATACCTAGAATTTTTTGGGAGCATTCTGAGAAATTCTAGGAAAAATTTCTCTTTTCCACATACAGTAAAGCCTTGAATAATGACGGTAATGTGTCCTCCAATATTGCAGTGTAAGGTGAATCATCGTATCGCGAATCAATAATTACCATTAAAATAAAGCAATAATAATGAGTTGCGCTCCCAAGTGTGACCTTTTCATATCTTTTGTGTGGCTTTTAACCCTCTTTCCTCCCAAAACAATAAAATTAATGAAAATTGCAAACTATATTCTTTAAATAATGTTTCTGAATCCTCCTTATGCAATATAAATGAATAATAATATGGTCACACAAGAGGAGGCGGGACGCCATTGCTTTCGTTTGTGTTTACAGCCGGGAGTATGGGACGATGGTTCAACACGAGAAAATTCAGAAAATAAGACCCTGGTTGAAGCTGTATTAAAATTTATGTAAAAAAATGAATATATATGTTTTAAGTAATGTTATTTAATTTTAATAAATGGAGCAATAGAAGTAGCTAACCACTAATGGTAAAGAAAAAAGTGAGATGGATTGGGAATGCCAACATATACGTGAGCATTTAAGGATACTGCGTCATTTATCGTTTAAAGAATATGTACAAAAGATTCATTATTGTTATTACTGGTATGTATTTGATTGAATTAATCTTCATATAAGCGAAATTAACAATACAATTCATTAATAATACGTAGAATATTAAAACACACAAGAGGATAAGAGATGGCAATGTTGTTTTCAGTGTTTACACCCATAATGTCAGTTATCCACCTGAAATTGAAGAAAATAAGACCCTGGTTGTTGTTGTGATAAAATTAATGTAAAAAAATATGTGTTTTAATCAGGGTTGGAAAAAATCATGATTTTTTTTTTTAAATAAAAAAATCGATTTATTTGATTTAAATCGGATTTTTTTTTATTTAAATCGATTTATTTGATTTTTTTACTAATTACATTAAAATAGTATTTTTAAACCATAAAAACAGTATTTTTCAACCAAAGCTTATTTAGGATAATAAACAGAAAATTGGCATCAAGATATTTATGCAGTAGATGTACAGATTGTACCTCTCTAGTCCGGCATTCTGTGGTCCGGAAACTCCCGTGGTCCGTAACGATTTTAGTTTGTCCAATAGGTAGATAGGCAGCTTTTTTTTTTTTTTTTTTTTTATCTGAATTATTATTATTATTACAGGAGTATTAAATTTTTGCCCCTCAGGCCCCAATGTGGGTCAGTGACCTATGCCCGGGTGGGCTAATCCCCTTAAAAAAAAAAACAGCCGCGGGAAATTAAGGTTTGTTTACATCCGGCAGTTCGGCTGCTCTCTCTCTCTCTCTGCTTGTCTATACACAGTACAACATTTAACCCTTCAATATATATGAGCAGTAAATAAGTGTTGCTTTCATATTCTTATGTAGAGTAATGATGATATGTTTTCACATGTGCGCACTTACATACGCGCAGTCTCGCTTTTTTTACCATTAATGGTTAGCTACTTATATTGTTCCATTTATTAACATTAAATAACATTACAGGTACTTCAAACAACCATATTAATTTTTTTACATTAATTTTACTACAGCTAAAATCAGGGTCTTATTTTCTTCAGTTTTATATGTAGAACCAATCAGTCACTGGTTTCGTAAGCTTTAACATTAACAATGCCGGCTGCCGTCTCGTCTCCTTTAATATTCCACGTATTATTAATAAATTGTATTGTTAATTTTGCACACACAAACATTAATTCAATAAAAACAAATTCAGAAACATTAATTAAAATATATATGAACAGTAAATAAGTGTTGCTTTCATATTCTTATGTAATGACGATATGTTTTCACGTGTGCACATTCGCACTTACATACGCGATCTCTCTTTTTTCTTTACCATTATCGTTAGCTACTTCTATTGTTTCATTTATTAACATTAAATAACATTACTTAAAACAACCATATTAATTTTACTTCAGCTACAACCAAGGTCTTATTTTCTTCAGTTTTATATGTAGAACCAGTCAGTCACACGCTTTGTAATCAACGAAAACAATGCTGTCATTTCCTCGTGTGTTTTAATATTCTTCGTATTATTAATGAATTGTATTGCTCATTTTGCACACATAAACATTAATTCAATAAAAAAGACATTCAGTAATAAACAATAATGAATCTTTTGTACATAAGAGAAATGACGCCGTTTACACGATTATGCACGTCGTCTGCACGTTGGCGGGCCATTCAAACCCGTCGAAATTCAAGTTTCCACCGTCAAAATTTGTTTTTATTTATTTTTTTGTGTTCCAATAAAATACGTTAAGAATTAAAAACTAGCGAAATTTGAGAAGCTACTATACGACATTTAACCCTTCAATATGTCTTCAAAGAGACCATGATGCAGAGAAAGTGGTGCTAGTGCTTCCAAGCATAAGCACAAGTCACTATCTATCCAGGAAAAGGGTAAATTTCCATGGTCCGGCACCGGTCAGGTCCCGAGGTTGCAGGACTAGAGAGGTACAACCTGTACCAATGGAATTTAACACAATACTGTAATATTCTTTTGTAAAATAAAAGAAAAATGGTAACATATCTTACATTTGAGTGCACAAATCCAAACGTAATAATGAAATTTAACATAAATGCTCTTATAGGATTACAGTGTTTCAAAAATTAATAACTTAACTTCTTCAAGTCAACAGAATAATATTCTCATTTTGTAAAAAAAATAATACTGGTAACAAGATTATTTTCTTACATTTGTAGGATTATAGTGTACCTGTATTAAGAATTACCGGTAATAACTTCAAGTCAACACAATATTCTCATTCTGTAAACAACAAAAATAGTTCAAAACATTTAAATTAGCTTAGCTGAACATTGAAATGCTCATGTACTGTGACAAGCTTAGATGCCTTTTCCTGTCCTAGGTGATTTCTTACCTTTGAGTGTACAAATCCATATGTGGAAAAAATTCTCTCAACCCTTGCTGATGATGCAACAGCTGTAAATAATTGCCTAGGAATATCCATTACATTTTCTGTCATATTATTGGCAAAATACTGCCACCAAGCAAGGGGTGAGAGAGATTTTACAACATCTTTACCAAAATAGACCTCTTTAAATGGTGCACTTCTTCCATGGAAGGACATTAATGTTGAAAGGAAATGTGGAAGAGACTCGCACACATACTGTTCTGCAATGTCTCGCTGCTCAGGAGTCAGATGTCTGCCCTGATACCTTGGATCTATCACATTAGCTAGAAAATGGGCAGGTGTCAATGCTACTTTGATTCTTTTTTCAAAATTATCCATACCCTTCTTATCTGTTAAATACTCCTTAATATCAGTTTTCAGTTTTACCCAGATTTCTACAGCATCACTTAATAGGGTATGTTCTCTCTGGACACAGTCCAATGCCACAGCAATAGGCTTAAGTCTCTCTAAATAGTCTTCTGCAGTTCTTTTTAATGCCTTATCATTAACTTTCTTTTCAATTTTCTTATCAATGTCTTAACACTATTTTCTTTGCTCACTTTGACAAGGGTCTCCCAGTTCTTTAAATAAGATTCAATAGAATCTGTCGCTGTGTTCCATCGTGTGTCTGATGGCATTACTAGCATTGTTCCTCCTCCTCTTCTATACAAAGATCCTGGGATGTGATGATTTCTGAAGAACTTAATGATTTCAGTAATGTGCTCCTTAATGTTCTTGATTTGCAGGTCTTGTGAAAGCAAATTTAACAGGTGTGCAGAGCAACCATATGTTATAATGGATTTATCTTGTCCGAATTTTTCATTTTTGCCATATTAGCAGCATTATCTGTTACACAGCTTCTTACTGTGCATCCAAATTTGTCTTCACACTTTTTTGTAGCACATTCAGCTAATTTCAACAGATATTCAGCTGTGTGTCTTGATTCTGTGTCTATAGAGTCAACAAGATAAATATGGTTGTCCACTGTTAAAGTTATACATGCTATAGGCTCATTATGGACATTACTCCATCCATCCATGGCCATGCAAACTGTTTACCCACTAAGTTCTTCTGAATAATTCTTAATCACTGCATTGTAGGCTTGATCCAAAAGAGACCCTCCAATTTGATGTCTATTAGGTGGAACATATCCTGGTCTTAGCATTTTAATCATCTTGATAAACTCTTCGTGCTCCACTGTTCGGAAGGGTGAATATGATCAAAGTTTCGCAAAACTGGAGAGAACAGACTATAGTACAGTACATAATTATGTAAATCCAAATAATGATATTAGCCTGCTGCATTGCATATACTTTTCAATCATGTACAGTAGAATAAAAAGAGAAAACAGTTATTAGTAAAAAAATAATTTTGATTTAAATCATGATTTTTTTACTCTGAGTTAAATCGATTTAAATCATGTGATTTAAATCATTTGATTTAAATCATAACAACCCTGGACTTTTAATTAAATTATTTAATGTACATTAGAAGTAGCCACTGATATTCAAGAAAAAAGTGAGAGTGGTAGTGGAATGCCAATGTATACAGTACATGCGCACTCAAGGAAACAGTCATTTATCTTAAGAATATGTACAAAATATTCATTATTGTTTATTACTGATTATATATTTGAATGAATTAATGTTTATATATGTGAAATGAACAATGCAATTCATTAATAATACGCAGAATATTAAAACACAGAAGAGGAGACAAGACGGCATTATTTTCGTGAGTGACGATGGTTCTACACAGGAAACTGAAGAAAATAAGACCCTGGCTGTAGCTGTAGTGAACTTAATGTAAAAAAATTGAATACTTGTATGTATGATTTAAGTAATGTTATTTAATGTTAATGAATGGAACACTAGAAGTAGCTAACCACTAATGGTAAAGAAATAAAGCGAGACGATTGGGAACGCCAATGTATGAACAGTAAGTGTGTACATGTGAAAACATATCGTCATTTCTTTACATATGAATATGAAAGCAACACTTATTTACTGTTCATATATGTTTTAAATAATATTTATGAATGGAAAACAAAAATTCTACTCACGAATGGTGGTAAAGTCTAAAACATAAGGACAGCCAATGAATATTGTGCGAGTTTTTACTCAGATGCCAAAGTCATCAGGTTCAACTCTGGTTGAAGCTGTAGCTTTCCATAAAGCTGTTGCTGAAGCTGTTACTGAACCTGAAGTTGATGTTGAAGCTACTTATGATGCTGAATTTGCTGGTGTAGCTGAAGTTGATGGTTTAGACCTTCAAATAATAAAGCTGTCGAAAGAACCTTGCACAGCTGCTTTCTTTTCTCATTATACATCTTTATGTAGAGGTCATTTGCATTTATTTAAATTTTAATGATTTGTTCTGTTCATGGATCCACTTCAGAAAATATATTAATTGCTTGCTCCATATAATATCCAGAGGCCTCTCACCTTTTTCATATCGTTTTAACACATCTAGTTTCTTGGCTAAGCTCATACACTTTCTATTAGCTTTTGAAACAACACTACCATCACTTGCTCTCTTGCTCATGTTGAATAGGGATGCAAATATGGTGTAAGAAACCTGAGGAAGTTTTTCTCCTTTTCTTGTTCAGATGCGTGAAAACAAAGGGACCGCCAAGCTTCGACTGTTGTTTACTGGCGATGCCCATTACCACTCATTAGCCAAGCAGCTTCTTTGCACAAGGCACTCTTCTTTCTTTTTTACAGTATTTTTTTTTTATAATACATATTGGGATTTAGTTAATATTCATACGAAAATGTAATTTTATTTTATTTTTATTATATTTTGGTCGTAAATACGAATGAAATAAGGACATAAATTGAATTGGGTCCTAAATTAACTAGGGTCTTAAATATGAAAAGTTGTTGGTCGAACTGTTGTTATCAGAGGCTTTACTGTTTTAAAAAAAATTCTGGATGATTGCATCAGCCTATTTCCAAATTTTTCTGTCAATTCATTGGTGCCTAGAGCCTCTCACGAGATTCTCACATTGCCAGTGTGTTTAGCTGTGTGCTAGGGCAGTTGCATCAGTTTCTGCTACATCCTGAAGATAAGAAAACACACACGCGCTACTCTCCCACCCTCCTCGCCCTCCTTCCCTCCCCAACTGTACTTAAAATAATTCTTTAAAACTTTCAATTGTAAAAGTAAAATAGTTTTTCCATGCACTAAGATGAACTTAAACTTATTTTTTGTCTTTTAAGTATATAGCATGAGTCTGGGTGACTGATCAAAGCTTGTGTTTTGCAAACTTGTCATTTTCACAAGTGAATTTTTGAAAGGGAAAAGAGAATAAATGATTGCTAAGTCATCCTAAATGTAATGTTTATAATTAATCGCACATTAATAATTTATATAAAGGGCTAAATATACTTTAAACTTAATAAAACCGATATAATAGCATGAATTTTTTTTTACCAGGGATTTTTGCCAACCCTGCTTCTCACAATCATCCTCTGGGTGACACCAATACTCCAACATTCATACAGCAGATGCTGGGGCTTACTGGCTAGTCAGCTGTTCACGTTATGTAAATAAAGCACCAAGAATTTAATATGACACAATAACTCATCTGGGGTTGAGTGTGGGATTTCTTATAAAAAAATTTTCTTTAGGAAAATTTGATTTATTATGCGATATTGTTTTATTAACCTGGCACCAAATAAACTCAAATAAATGAAAATTATGGTGAAATTGTATCCTGCCATTATAAAGGGATCGTAGGTGTGATGGAACGCTCATGGAGGAGAGGGAGGGGAATATTTTGTTCTCAGTCCAGTCTCTCTGACACAGAATTCACATCCCACTCTTAATTTTTTTTTTTTATAGTTTTATTTTATATATTCTTTATATCTAAGTCACATTAAGAGCATTGAAATATTTCCACAACTTTTACAAGTTTCTTAGGTAAACAAACATTGCAGTAACAGCTGCACATCTGTGAATTATGAATATTTGACTGAAATTTAAAATGAAGTAAATTTGTACATTTCACATTATTGCAACTCCACTGTACACTTAAATTCTCCTGCTCTCTATTAATGCATAAGTTTTGTTTGCTTTTTACAGCACCTTAGATGTTCCCTGGCAGGGCTGGAGTATGCCAGGAGGGACAAGAGTTCATTAGCCCTACTTCAGGACTTGGCTCTTGGACAACCTCTGGTAGCCCAAGTCATTAACCGGCAAGAGCATATTTCTCTCATCCTCTTCAACACTATGACAGATGAAGATATCAATATCAACCAGAAAGTTTCAGATCACCTTCAGCATAATTTTGTAGAACCAACTCTTCCATCTGTAAGTCATAACATGTTACACATAATATGGAATCTGAGCATGAGGAGTGAGATTTTAGGTTTACAGACCCAGTGTTATTTAGAATTAGTTGCTTTTTCAACAAGGTACGTTCTTGTAGTAATTGCAAGCACTGTCTACTAATCATGTGTTTTTATCATGCTATTGTGAGTTTAATCATTAAAAGTACAACAGGCATTGTAATAATAATTGAATAATGAAAACCAGGGTCCCAAATTACTTGGTATGTTTGCAAGTCCTGGCTTCTAATCTTGCAAATGAGGTCTTGGTTCATTTTTTAGCAAGGCAGCTGATTGTCTGGCGGACGGACATATGAAAGTCGCTACAGTATACTGTTCTTTAATATTCAATTATCTTAACCCTTACAAAAAAATTTTGACATCCTCCACCTCGCTGTGTGACATTACATGGTGAGGAGAAGTTTACGTCTCGGAACTTGTTTATCATGTTCGTGTTCTCTTCAAGATAAATACCGGGTATGTTACCAAAGCATTTCACATTCTAATTTTTGCTTTTTCAAGTGTGGAAATCCTCAAAAGATCAATACAGTACAGAATTGTTATTTTTCTTTCAAGATATTTTAATATAATACGATAGACTAAACACCAAAAAACTGAAGTAATTTCACATCTCTGTCTGCCAACCAATCAGCTGCCTTGCTACAAACTGAGCCAAGGCCTTAGTTGCAAGGTTCAAGTGAACAGACTATAAACAGTTCTTTATTTGAAGTTCTGAATTTAATTTATGTTTATGCCTCATATCAATGGTCCATTTGTACACTCATAGACACAGTCATCTGTGAACAATAATGCATTTTACCTTTATTAAATGAGGAAAAACCCTGTAAATTTTAGTGCAGTTCTCATTGATTCCAAGGTCTTGATCACAGGTAATTGATTAAAAACCTTATATTCATTCTAGTTTGTGTTCTGATTGTCTTTATGAATACCTTCAACACTTTAATTACCTGTTATGCTCCTTGAAGCATATTAACCTCCTCTGGCTTCTTACTCGCTTACATGTATACTCATAATGAAACCAAATAATTCACGGTTGTTCATATTGATCCCAAGTGAATTGGAGGTTCTCGTAAGAATACCATATGCTTAAAAAGACTGCAAGTTACTATTCGTTGATCATAATAATGTTATCAGAATTACAGGAAGGTGCTCATAATAATGTTATGATTTACATGTGGTTATAGTGACATGACAAGTGACTCAAAGGTGCTCATATTTATGGCAAGTAACCCAGGTACTCATTATAACCTCAGCAGTTCAGCTTGACTTCCAGTTGGTGGCAGTGACTTTAGGTGAATCACAGAAGCTCATAATCACATCACCTAAAATCTCATCACATTACTTAAAAGACATCAAATGACTAAAAAGTACTCATAATAATGTTTAGGGGTTCACTTGTGCTCATAATATTTCCAGGTGAATCAGTGCTAACCATAATGATCCCTGGACCTTATAGACTTATGGGTACTCATAATGACACCAGGATTTTAAAATAGCCTTTGGTAATTATAAGTAGTTATGGTGCAAAGCCATGGTGATTGCATAAGCATACAAGCGTTGAAAAGTTAATTAGCTACAGATATACCTTGGCCGTGGGGGTGTAAACAGGTTAGCCGGTAAATGTTTGTATTTCTGTGTATTAGCATTTTTTTATATATATATATATACATTTCTTTGTTTCATTTTATACAGAACTGTAAATGTTTATAAAATGAACTATACCTCAAATAATTGTAAATAATCAAACTAAACTAATGCCCAGTACCTTTAGAGTTAATGTTAAGGTAATAATAAGCATCTTTCACTGTTAATATAATTTGTCAATAGCATTACCTTTCTGTTTTACATGTTACTATGAATTGAATACTGTTGTACAGGATGCTAGAAATGTTTTCAATTTTTTTTTTAGGTAGGAGGTGTAGCAGAGGTCTACCTGATGCATGTCACTCCTGAGGGTGATGTGTTTGTTCAGATTGAGTCAGAAACCTACGAGGTGCTTGAGAGCCTTCTTGATGTGGCCAGACGTGAGTATTTTTTAGTTTAACAAATATACAGTAAACCCTCTTTCTAAGGAATATTCCCAATAAGGGACTTCTTTTAATCCGGTATAACTAGTAGACTCGGCTTATAAGATCCAGTAATAGAAGCATTGTCTGCTGTTGACCAGGTGCACTGTCCTTAAAATATCTCCAATCAAACAGAGGTGATGATACTGACTGTATTAGTGCAAACTGAAAACATAAAGTGCTTAGTACCAAAGAAAGAGTAGAAAGTCTTGTTACTGAAACTTTGTGACCAAGCATTCCTGATACTGGAGTTTACCATACAAGAGGCGCTCTGCATTACAAGGGGGTAAAGCGCCACCCCTGGCAAAACGTTTTTTTTTTTTTTATGGATATCACTATTTTCACCCTTCCTCTACATGTTAACGTTGAATGTAACCCTCTAGGTAGACTAGAAATATGGTTGGAAGTCCTTAAAAAATAGGGTGTCATTTCGCCTCAGGCCGGGAGCTACGTATTTGTCTGTGTGCTCGATAAGTAACGGTGGTTTCATCCCGTTCAGAGTGAGAGGAGCGCATGCCAATGACAGCGCATGTCCCACGGGCCATACCCCCCTGAGTCAGCCAATCACAATGGATTTTCCTTGCTACGTCACAGCTCCTCAGCCAATCTGCGTGCCCAGATGCTGCCTCCCTGTTAGTCTTGCTGCGCTGTGTAGCTAAAGGCGGTTCAGCGTTTCTACTGTTATTTTGAAAAAATTTTTGGCATAGCATTGACGTTATTCATGTTTCATGGGTGTGAGAAGTGCTATGCAATGTCTGCCCAGTTTTAGAGCAAGGTTCGAGTGAAGCCAGCCCTTCTGGTGTGGGTTCAGGTGCCCTAAATCCTGAGCTTGTGTCTAGTGATGACAGTGCTCACTTGGACACCCCAGCCATGCTTGGTGATAGTGATTTTGGTGGAGAATTTAGTGGCAATTATGGTGATGCAAGTGCTACTGGCGATGGTGATAGCCATTAAAGTTATACGTGCTCCTCAGGATTTATGTAACTTCAACGTACTACAATCGTCTGGGATGATAAAACGAAGGAACTAAACAAAGTAAGATTATAATACAATTATCATAATACTTTTTTACCCAAGATTATGCAAACTTTCTCGGCGTTTGTATTCGTATGTTAATTACATTGGGGGGGAGAGTGTGGTGGTGTTCCCTTATTATTACACACTATTATACTAAACAATATTATAAATCTTTGGCTAATAATTGGGACGGAAAGATAAATACTGATAGGCATATGAGTTGTTATTATTATTTTATTATTTTTTTATTTGGGGGGAGGGGGTGTAAGAAGAGTGTTGATTTTGGTGATCATTAACTTGTTTTACAGTACAGGGGAGTATTAGCCCACTAAAAAATCTGAATAGATATTATACAGCGCTGGACATAGAATGCAGTCTTGTCTTACTCCATGTCTAACCCTGAACCAACTAATGTACAGGTTGACAACCCTTTATCCGAAATTCCGAAAACCGAAAAGCTCTAAAAACCGAAAGTGTTTTGTAGGGCAATTTTTTTTTTTTTTTTAAACAGGGATTAGCCCACCCGGGCATAAATCACTGACTCACATCGGGGCCTGGTGGGCGAAAATGTAATAGTAATAATAATTATAATAATAATAATTATTCATAGTACAGTAAATAAAAATTGTAATTAAAATATTGTACACCAAGATAAAATAATAATGATAACAATAATAGTAATAATAAAATATAATAATAAAATTAATAATAATAATAATAATAATAATAATAATAATAATAATAATACCTGTACTGTAATACATACAATACTGTGAAATCGAACATGACTTGGACGTGACGCTTTTGGGCGCTTGACAAACGTCGGGCAGCGGGTGAGTGAGGCGCCACTTTTGTCTCAGTGTTGCTACTACTGTAGTCACACATTTGCGTCTGCTGCTCTCATATTTTTATGTAATTTTGTTTACCTTCACTGAAAATGCCAAAAAGAGCTTCAGATACCCCTATGGGTTACAGCGAGAAGAAAAGGAAGCGTCTCTCATTATCGACAGCACAGAAAGTGGAGTTATTACAGAAGCTTGATCGTGTGCGGCATCTTACTGAAGAATATGGTGTGGGAACTACCACCGTATATCACTTAAAGAAACAAAGACAAGTTATACACTGACAGTGATGACCCCTTAATAATGCAAAACAGAAAAACATGAAGATCTTGACCACGTGCTGATTGAGTGGATTCGACAACGAAGAACTGAACGTATTCCACTGACTGGTTTGATGGTCGTGAAACGAGGTAAAATATACCACGAAGAACTGAACATTGATGGTGAGTGTGAATATTCAGAAGGTTGGCTGCAGAAATTTAAGAAGCGTCATGGTATAAAATATCTGAAAATCTGTGGTGATAAAGCTTCTGCTGATCATGAAGCAGCTGAACATTACATTGACGAATTTGCCAAAATTATATCTGATGAAAACCTTTGTCGTGAACAAATTTACAATGCTGATGAAATCGCTCTGTACTGGCGCTATGTTCCTAGAAAAATGTGAACAACCGCTGATGAGAGAGCACCAACAGGTGTTAAGGATGCTAAGGACAGGTTGACTGTTCTTGGGTGCGCCAATGCTGCAGGCACACACAAGTTAAAGTTGGCAGTGATTGGAAAAAGCCGACGACCAAGATGTATGAAAGGTGTACACAATTTACCTGTGCATTATTATGCCAACAAGAAAGCATGGGTAACCAGAGAAATATTTTCAGACTGGTTCAATAACCACTTTGTAACATCAGCACGAGCTCATTGCAGGGAAGCTGGACTGGAAGCAAACTGTAAAATTCTATTGTTCCTTGACAACTGCTCTGCACATCCTGCTGAACTTCTTGTGAAAAGTAATGTTTTTGGCATTTACTTTCCCCCCAATGTGACGTCTTTAATACAGCCTTATGTCCAAGGAATTTTACGCTCCATGAAGAGCAAATATAAAGATGTTTTTTTGAACTGTATGCTTGATGCAGTCAGCAGAGGCGTAGGAATCAAAAGCTTCACGAAAGAGTTCAGTGTTAAGGATGCCATTTATTCAGTTGCTAATGCTTGGAACGCTGTTGATAAACCAACATTAACAAATGCTTGGCGCAAACTTTGGCCTACAACGATGTTTGAAGGAAATGAAGATGCAGATGAAGACTTGGAAGGATTTCGTGTTACTAAAGAGAAGATGATATCAAACCTCCTTACTTACGCCAAAGGTTTATCTTTCGAAAGTGTAAATAAGTTGGAGGAAGCCGACATTGAAGAATTGCTGAACATTGACAATTATGCACCTGTTGTGTATTCATTGAGTGATGGGGAAATAGCTGAAATGGTGCTAAATAAAGATAAGCATGAGGATAGTAGTGATGATGATGAAATTGTGAACACTGGTGAAAAAGTCTCCATAGACGATGTGGTGAAAACCTGTGATCAGTTAATTACTGCCCTTGAACAACGTGCATTTATCAGTGAGCACGAGAGACTGCTTAGACAGAAACCACTGTTAATGAGACAGATGACACTGGAAGAAGCCTTTAAAAAGACCATCTGTCCTAGTATTGAGTCATCACTTGAGAGTCCTGTTCCTGGCCCATCTTCAGATGTCTGACTCCTACTTGATGATGACAACACTGATGTGTCCTCTTCATGATAAACAAGCCAGCTGTAATGTACCTTTACTGTATCTGTTTGAAGTTTTACAGAATATTTTCCTTACAAATAAACTGTACTAGAGTATTTATGGACTATATTTATCCCACAATTTCATTTATGCCAAACCTAACTAAACTGAACTGAATATAACCTAACCTAACCATTCCGAAAACCGAAAAATTCCGAAAACCGAAATATGTCTGGCCCCAAGGATTTCGGATAAAGGGTTGTCAACCTGTACTATGTTCATAATTGCTAGTATCCCAGTTCATTTGTTTTATAAGTTCTGTTGGAAATTTTTCCACTTTAGCATTTTCCATTTTGCACACAGCTCCCTCAACTTGTTTCCTGAATCAATAGTTTTATCTTAATTTTCTTTTCATTTCTTACCTTCACCCTTTATCAAAATTATTGTACTTTTCTTTTCATTTCTTATCTTCACCCTTTATCAAAATTATTGTAATGTATAGTTCTTCTACATACTTTGCCTATCTCTTTTTTTTTTCTATGGGATTAAACAGGTTCTTATTGTCCTTACTTTTTATGGTCCCTCACAATGGCATAGATTTGTTGTGAATGAAGGGGAGATGCTTCTGAGGCTTGCAAAGAAAGTATAAATTTCAATGAATATAAATATACTGTACAGTATTCTTTAATTATAAAACTAGATATCTTAGAGCATGTTTATTAGGCTATGAAAAGAAGTTACAAAGGTAAAAAGGCATTTATTCTAGTTGTTGCAAATGTTGTACAGTACAAAAAATAATTCTGGCAACTGAAGGTACAATGGACAAAACTTTACAAACCATAAATTTTCTTTAACTCTCAATCCATGTATTTTTCTAATACAGGTTTGGCATTACCCAACATTGCTCTTATTTCATCACTAAAATACTTGATTACCAGGATAAACATCTACCAAATACTTTTATGCTTAAAACTATTAAAAACCATTATAAAAAACCTGAGCTTACTAATGGCATCCTCTCTGGAGCAACTTGCGCACAAAACTAACTAATTTTTTGTTTATTTTAAATCTCTGGGTTTTCACTGGATGTCCCTTCAAAATGGTGGAATCATCCAGCCAATGAAAACTCAGAATCTCAAGAACACTCCCATCGAATTTAGCTGGAGACATGCTCCAATGAGTGGGAAGTTTGAACTAAGCTTGGAAAATTGGATTTGCAATGGTTTTATTAAGAAATACATTAACTGTAGGGGGATGATTAATATAGGAAATATTCCAACTCGATTGTAGAGGGGGGATGCATCCCCCCCCCCCCTCAGGATGCTTCTTACTGGTGGCACATCATTTATTCATTTGTTTAAGCATTTTGTACATATCCCTGCAGCTATGATATGCCTGCTATAATCTACCATTTCCTTCCATTTCCTATTTGAAAACCAAAGGTCTGTCTACAGTGACTTTAGTCTATAGGTCCTCATCATGAGTTACTGGTTTGTTGTATAAGGCAGAAGTTGAAGAGTAAAATTTACATAAGCCTTATTATGATGGCTTGCTTTATTATGTTTGGCATAGTTGTGTACACATTCATTGTACAATACACTGGGATCTTGATCACGAAACACTTGCCAATCACACAGTTTAAGTTTGTCTGTAGAGGACTGCATATTTTTATCAATGGTCATTCTATATTTAGTTATTACTAGTGAAATTTGAATGTTTTACATGGTATAAAATAATTTTAAGTGTAAATTGCATGTGTTCTGGGTATCAAGTTCTATCTACAGGAGCGAACACAAACACCTGTAGAGTTTTCGTAGGTTCTATTTACTGGATAAACAGATATGTACACAAGGGAGGTGGCGCTCCTTACTCTGTATGGGGGTCAACTAGCCTCTCGAGCGACATGTGGCAAGTGATACATTAGCAGCTTCCATATGTCGCCAGGCACATTAATTAATGTGGGACATGGTAAATACATTGCCACACGCTGCTAGCTAGGCTGAATAAATAGCGTATATAAATGGAGCACATACATAATATACATACAGCATACATAATATACATACATAAATAATACCTTCTAATAATTGAGAAATATTGATACATAATGTAAATGCTTGTAGAGAATATGAAATGATTTAGATATCCTAATGAAAGTCATACCTTCACAGATCGCGCAAAGGAAATGCTTGGGGAAAATGTGCAGATTGACCTAACTCGTCTGTACTTGGCCCGTTTCAGTGAAGATGGAGAATGGTACCGAGCAGCTCCAAGGAGTAACATAGATCAAGATGGCAAGGTATTTATAACTGTTTATTGTAGTCTTTAAAAATCCTATTTGATACATTCTTTATTTTGACAGATGAGAGATGATGCTTGTTTTTATGAAGCTTGATAATCTGCTTCTTGCCTTAAAAATGGAATTACTGTACATACAGTGACCTTTTTCACTAAAATTGAGAGGATGTAAGACAATGACAAGAATATTGTTCAATCACAGCAAATATTCATACATCCATCTATCTATCTATGTCTGTGTATGTATAACTATTCATGTGTTGTTTAATTCTGTTAATTTTCAACATGATTTTACAAAATTTGGTGCAGATGAATCATCTGGATGGGTGATGTACACATGCCAAATACCAAGATATTTAATACCATGATTATTTTTGTACTTTTTTTCCGATTAGCTCGTGCTAGAGGATATGTCTTCATCAAATAAGTTGTTTTAGGCTGAAAATCATCTCAGGTAGGCCCTGAGATACATATATTTTGCATCAGACCAATTGAAAAATTTAGTTTTCATAAATTGGCTGATGGTTTCAGAGAAAAGTTGACATTTTATTTTAATATGTTTGTCATCGTTTTGTCTCATTGGCTTTGTATATATAAAGTATACATGCTTCCAGGATAACTAATTCTTAGTTTTTAGGATTGGCCAAGTACTGACGATGAAGAGGGAAGAAAATTAAAGATCAAGGGGCTGTCAAAGATGAATTCATGACTGATTGCAGTGGAGTGCCTGAGTCGTTATGACACAGGCCTCAGTCTCATCATCCTCAGTTCCTAGTAGTGCCTCCTGCTGATCAGATGCCTCTCAGTCAGCTCAGTGTTTTGGAAACTGAGCACTTCCTTTATTTATTGGGATGGTTGCTTGAGGATAGACAGATTATCACACAACCATAATGCTATTTTGCAGGAGTGTTTATTGATGTTTAACACTTTTCCAGGATATTCACACTAATTTGCATCAAACCAAAACTTTATGTGTCCTGTATCTGGACGCTCAGCGGAGAAAAATATTTCCCCCAAATTAGCCAGTGTGCTGAACTTGTTGAAAATTGGACATGTGTTAGAAATTAGCAACTCAAGTGGTGTGACACTCCTCCTCTACCTCCTTTAAACCCAGTATAATGAGGCATGATAAGTGGCAACCTCAGTTTTTATGTCCACATCCATGAGTGTACTCTCTGCACCTCTATAGTGTTGCCTTAGTCTAGGTTTTTCTTGTATTATTTTTGGCTTATCCTCCCATTCCATAGTGATATATGTCATTCAGTAGTGTGCTTCTGATGTTTCAAGGTACAGTACTGTATTTGTGTATATCAGGGAGTGTTATTTGTGCAAAGTGGTTGAGAAAAAATGTCTGAGAAGCAGGCACCTCGTAATGGTGATGCAAAAACTAGACCTAGGTTACTCTCCCAAGATGAAACATACAGTGGATTGAGTTATTCCTACCCCTCAGGTAATGTAAAAGAGGTGCACATATAAAAAAGCCATTTGTTATTTTGTGTTGTTTACATATACAGTACTACTGTATTTACTATTCATTTTGCATATTCTCAAGTTATACTACAGTAGTCAGTATTCCCTTACTTTTGGTCATATTGCAGTTCCAACAATGCCACCATACTCTCTTGCATTCAAAGGTGTATAATACATATGGGCACATATGGATAACATGTTATTTAAGAGGAAGTACAAGTAAAAAATATTTTCTTGCCATTGGCAACAGCTACATTTGTCTCCTAAACTTTGTACTATATCTCAGTTATTACATGTGATAAATTCAGTTCATTTGCACCATTTTCTTCAGGTGGATTTTTTACATAAGTCATATGAATATTTATTACAGTACAGTACACGAGTATATAAAAGTTAGAGAAAAATAGCCCACCAAAATGTTGTTTAAACATTTCTCACATACTTTCTCTTATACTCGTCATTATTCCCTCAGTTTTTATTGTATCTCATTTCTTGAAATACCAATACATTCTACAGACTCACCTGCATATAATGATGTATAATACATAAGGGTAAAAGGAATTTGTAAGGTTCAACTAACATGTACAAAAAATTTACAGAATATATAAAACTGCTCCCACTCAAGCTGAATGGGTGGGAGAAGGTCACGACAGGGTGGGGGTAATAAAGTCCAGGGGGATTACAACAGGCAACATGTTAACAACCTTATTGGTAGTTAGCTCTCACACAAACGATAGCATTTGCTTCACCTTACATTTGTGACCATTTTCCACAAGGAATACTCAGCTCAACTTCACCAGATGAGGACTGGTAAAAAGGCTTGTTGGAATATTACAGGGAAAATCAGATTTGCATATAATACCTCTTAGGGATAAATCAGTGCTTCATTCAGGCCAATCACAGGACTTGAGGAAATTCTTCAGAGGGTCTGATAGGCAGCTAGCAATGTCTTGGTGGTTAAGTGGGAGAAACTGGATAATTCAATGTACTGTATTCCTGAAAATATCTTAAGTTATTCCTCAACTTGTTTTTGTGTGTGTGTGTGTGTGTGTGTGTGTTGTGTGTGTGTGTGTGTGTGTGTGTGTGTGTGTGTGTGTGTGTGTGTGTGTGTGTGTGTGTGTGTGTGTGTGTGTGTGTGTGTGTGTGTGTGTGTGTGTGTGTGTGTGTGTGTGTGTGTGTGTGTGTGTGTGTGTGTGTGTGTGTGTGTGTGTGTGTGTGTGTGTGTGTGTGTGTGTGTGTGTGTGTGTGTGTGTGTGTGTGTGTGTGTGTGTGTGTGTGTGTGTGTGTGTGTGTGTGTGTGTGTGTGTGTGTGTGTGTGTGTGTGTGTGTGTGTGTGTGTGTGTGTGTGTGTGTGTGTGTGTGTGTGTGTGTGTGTGTGTGTGTGTGTGTGTGTGTGTGTGTGTGTGTGTGTGTGTGTGTGTGTGTGTGTGTGTGTGTGTGTGTGTGTGTGTGTGTGTGTGTGTGTGTGTGTGTGTGTGTGTGTGTGTGTGTGTGTGTGTGTGTGTGTGTGTGTGTGTGTGTGTGTGTGTGTGTGTGTGTGTGTGTGTGTGTGTGTGTGTGTGTGTGTGTGTGTGTGTGTGTGTGTGTGTGTGTGTGTGTGTGTGTGTGTGTGTGTGTGTGTGTGTGTGTGTGTGTGTGTGTGTGTGTGTGTGTGTGTGTGTGTGTGTGTGTGTGTGTGTGTGTGTGTGTGTGTGTGTGTGTGTGTGTGTGTGTGTGTGTGTGTGTGTGTGTGTGTGTGTGTGTGTGTGTGTGTGTGTGTGTGTGTGTGTGTGTGTGTGTGTGTGTGTGTGTGTGTGTGTGTGTGTGTGTGTGTGTGTGTGTGTGTGTGTGTGTGTGTGTGTGTGTGTGTGTGTGTGTGTGTGTGTGTGTGTGTGTGTGTGTGTGTGTGTGTGTGTGTGTGTGTGTGTGTGTGTGTGTGTGTGTGTGTGTGTGTGTGTGTGTGTGTGTGTGTGTGTGTGTGTGTGTGTGTGTGTGTGTGTGTGTGTGTGTGTGTGTGTGTGTGTGTGTGTGTGTGTGTGTGTGTGTGTGTGTCCCTTTTTCTTGGTAACAAATCAAAGAAATTTATGGGATTCATTCCCTACAATTTTTATTGCTCTCACTTTGTCACATCAGTTTTGTGTTTGAGCTCTTGAAATATGACTCTATGATTGATGATATTTGTACTAGAAGGCATGGTAGCTGCAGCAGATCATGCCGGTATGTTTTTCTCTGACCTCGTTAAACATGCTCACTATAGATTCATTAACTCAATAATTTCTGGCTACATCCATAATTTGTTCACTACCATAAAATTTATCTAGTATGTGTACTTCCTTTTCACAATTTGCATGACTAAGCACTTCACTTCAGAGACATTATTTTTAGAAGAAAACCCAGCACAACAGACTGATATGCAAAAAACTTGATGCTTACTCTGTGGACAATCCAAAATTGGTGTGTATAAACAAAGCACTGAGGATTGTCATCATCCCCTCTCATCTGCTTGCATGTCAGTGACTAGTGAAGTGTATAGGATCATACATCATAGAGACGTGTGAGTGTCATTGGCAAGCCAACCGTGTTACTGCAAAAAGGCAGCTGTGTGGAGAAAATAAGTACCTGTAGTACAACTATACCCCAATGTATGAAGGGTTTGGGTTTCCTGGAAATCCATTCGTTAAGTTAAAAACGTATATCAATTTGGTAGAATCCATGTACAGTATTTTTGGGGATTATGTTCCAAGGGAACGAAAGCAACCTATATTGAATGGTAGTCCGTGCATTTTTGGGGTTATGATCCAGAGAGGGAAAATGATGGTCAACTGGAAGTTTTTCACACAAATTTCACCGGTATATGGCCTTAAATAATAGTAAAGAGTAGACAGGTTGACAACCCTTTATCCGAAATTCCAAAAACCGAAAAGCTCTAAAAAGCGAAAGTTTTTTTGTGGGGCTTTTTTTTTTTTAAACGGGGATTATTAGCCAACCCAGGCACAGATCACTGACCCACATCGGGCCCTGGGGGGCGAAAATGTAATAGTAATGATAATTATAATAATAATAATTATTCATAGTAAATAAATATTTTAATAAATATACACCAAAATAACAATGATTACAATAATAATAATAAAATATAATAATAAAATTAATAATAATAATAATAACAATAATAATAATACTGTAATAATAAAATAATAATAATACAGTAAAGAAATACAAGAATGAAAAAAAGATCAAAAGTGAGAAACACGACCTAGACCTATGACTTATTATTATTATTATTATAATTTTTATTATATTTTCGACCCCCCAGGCCCCAATGTGGGTCATTGATCTATGCCCGGGTGGGCTAATACACATTAAAAAAAAAAAACCTAACCATTCTGAAAACCGAAAAATTCCAAAAACCGAAATGCCTCTGGCCCCAAGGATTTCGGATAAGGGATTGTCAACCTGTATAATGTACATTGAAAATGAAGAACATTATATAGGTACAGTAGAGTGTCCTGGTTGGTCATCTTAGCATCTTAACCACATGATAGCTGAAGAGTTTGCATTATATATTGAAAAGGGGGGGGGGGGGTGTAAAAATTTTAATTTTATCTGTTAAAGCGAATATTTGCTTTTGTATAAAAAGAAATGTTAAAATGTAACTTGTTGAAATGAATTTTCGTGTATCTGGCATACATATACAGTACTGTATAAAGGAATACCTGTAATTTTTTTTTTGGTATGAATAAGGTGAAGGATAACTATTGCATAATTAGTAAAATTTGTATGTACTGTTGAAGTGTTTTGGCTCCTGTTTGCTGATAATGATTTTTTTTTTTTTTTTTTTATGGCTGGTCTGGCAGCCATCTTGGATTTAAAATTGAAAGTTAAAGTCAGTTAATTCTATAATACCTTGAACAAATTACAGTATGCCATTCGATTTAGTATATACTTTTTGCATGCTGTTTTAGCTACTTCTTGTCCAATTCTTATGTTTTACATGATTGCTTATTTTAGGGTGTGACATGATTGTTTATAGGGCTTTTATCATGTTTGTAAAAGTTACTGCCTACTTGTTGGTCAAAAATTTTATCTTGTCAACTTAGCTATATTCATGTTGAGTCTCAACATGAATTCAGTGGTAATGCCACTAGTCTTATATACTGTACTATAATAGGTTGATGCTCTCAGATCAGTTCATTGTTTCATCTCGAAGGTATCATGTTCCTTTTGTGGTCATGTTTCACCTGAACATTACAGGCTGGTAGACCCTCTTTTTTTTGGGGGGTATTATAATTACAGTGTGTTTTTAAGAAAAAAAAATTTGAAAACAATAATACTTTTTTTTTGTACTTTAATTTTTGGGGATTGGTTTTTAATTTATACCAACTTTTCAGCAGTACTCATTAGTGTCAGTCTTCTCCACTGTTCTCAAAGGATATTTATTTGTATACCGGTAGGTGTTGTTCCAGATTAGTCTTCTCCAGTGTCACTCTGTGTAAAAAATATGAAACTTAAATAATTTCTTACAAATTGCTGAAATAGTTTATTTAATAGTTTTTTAAATAAAAAATTATACAAGCCATCAAATAGAAGTATTTTTGGGGTGTGAGGTGTGACTGGCGCTGTGTGTCACAGCCAATAGAATACACAATGTTGTCAGGTGTATGAGAGCTCCCGGCAACACCAGCCGCTCGGTGACGGTGACTCGCCGAGCTTGGCTGCTGAGTACTGTATATGAGAGATGTAGGAGAAGATAAATTTTTTTCCCCTGCAGATGTTATAACATTAAGCTGTAAAAACATTCATGTGGCATAGTAAAACCCTGAAAGTACCGGGTAGGTTTGGTGTTCTTAGGGAGATTGACTCGGAAATCCCCCCCACCCTCTGGAATTTCCCTCCCTGCAATACCGTGTAGTGAAGTTCACGTGGGTGTGTTGTGGAGACACATTATTTCGTATTCCTGTAAGTTTAAAGAACCATACTTAGTTTTAGTCCCTATGGCAGTTACATAGGGTGTCAAGTTCCTTCATGACATAAATCTTAGTTTCCAGTGGAGTACAAACATCATTATTTGTTGGAAATATACAGAATTTACAGTTTAATACTGTATGTTTGTGCCTTTCTTTGGATTGTACAGTATTGTTTATTAGATTTTTGTGTACTGTAAATATACCCTGTATGTACATATATAATTGTGGTGTTCGTGTGTAATTACTAACAAAGCATGACTATGTAAATGGAAGTACATTTATATCGTGAATGAAACAAGATAATATAGGTATTCATCCTGCATGGGTCATCCTACTTTGTGAGAAACTGTGATTAATATAGAAGTGAGAGTTCTAACGGTAGTGTCACCAACATTCAAGAATCATTCAGCGAGTGGGAAATAATTTGTTGTATGAATAGTCTTAATGTAAAAGAATTCTTCATTTGTTTGATAGTTACATACCTCAGCAGTATTGGATTTATCTTATTGGATTGAAGTAATCTTGTGATGTACAGTAAATCCCATCCATTCTGCTGGGTAATGTTCTCAGAGACCATGGATTGTAAGTATGTACTACAGGTATAGTGGTGTGGATTGATATAAATAAGATAAGCTTCCAATCCATGATTTTACCTTAAAAATAAAATAATGGTAGTCCATGAATTATCTGACCCATTTTAGATTTTAGTAACTTTAAAAATATTATTGATGAATCATGTATGTGATGGACAACTCATAAGAATACTTTCTTGTCTCAGTAGATTTCCACATGTGCTTCGTGTTCTATTTTTAAGATTTAGGATATTTAGGATTGAAATGGGTCAGATAATTTATGAATATCCTGTATTTTAAACCTTTATTTAACCTTTTAAGTGTTTATACAGTACATTGAAAAGAGGAGTCTCTCTGGAAACCTAATTGAGTGTTGGTGATGCGAGTGAATGCCAGGTTTTTCTTTTTAGCTAATTAAGCCATAGATGATATTTATGTGGCTTTTTTTTTTCTTTTTTTTTAAACCTATGCATGGTATTTGCATTTGTGGAATGTTTTTAATGTTATTGTGATCATACTGAAATGTTTTTTAAGAGCTGTATATGCCTGGTTGGCTTTTAATAGTTCCATATCTTCCTTGTGACAGGGGTATAAAGTGAGTCACATTTGCTACTTGTCCTTATTGCATTATGTTTATAGATAAGCTCATGATTTATCTGTAAAACATAAACAATGAATTATTATAATGAGAGCAGTTGAATATAGATAAATTATTCTCATTTTTCACATTCTTGGCTCCTCCTCTCTCCCTCTGTCATTTTCTTTCACTTCCTTTTCCATTGATATAGAGATATCAATGCTGCATCATAAATACAATGCAATATATTGCAGTGGCAAAGCTCACTGTATACTGGCCTTCAGTGGTGTGCTTGGCTATGTTCATGACAACTAACCCCATAACTTAACTAACAGGTTCAGATGTGGTTTGTGGACTTTGGTAACTCAGACCAAGTGGATTCTACGAACATAAGGCTACTGGAGAGTGACCAGCTAAAGAAAATCCCACACCAGGTAAACAGATTTTCTAGGTTTATGGTTGTTGGTAGTCATTCACCACTGAAGTTCAGAACAAATCTTTTGAGCATAAGACGGTGATATTTACACACTCCTTCTAAGCTATTTTGATTTCTGTTTATCTGGTATTTTTTTTTTTTTTTTTAATATAAATGTTCTCACTTTCCATTTACAGTATCTCTACTACCTGGAGTTATAGTAATCACAAGCAGTAACTGTTGTAGATTTAAGCCTTCCTTATACTCTGCTGTTGTGACAATTGTCTACAGTCCAAAAGACCCTAAAACAGTACACTGTATCAGATTTTTTGACATAATGAACATCCATATACAAGGCATTATCATCATGTTAAGTACCAAATAGTACTGGCATGAAAATAGTAAAAGTTAACAGGCAGTATTGTGTTTAAATAAAAAATTTGATTTGGAGAGATTGTATGTGTACTTAAAGGGCGGCGGACATCATATGATGTTTAGGTTTTTCGCGCCATTGTTTGGGTGCACCTGTGGCTGTTGTTGTTGTCTGATTACTATAACGATGCTGGCGGCTCACTTCCGAGCCAGAAAAACATTCACTCCTAGTTCAACTCGTGATTTCTCCAAGAAATTATTATTTCTTGTATTTATTGGCTAAATATGAATTTGTAGAAAGGGGATTCAGCTTTCTAATGGTGCCCAAAAAATTTACTAACTCAATTAGGGTGCATTCTACTTATATTTGAATTACATTATCTAAAGCAATTTGCTATATTTTCTACACAACACCATCCTGGGCAGACATCGCGCATAAATATTCCCACTCTTTAAGAGTTTGAAATTTAATTGAAAACCAAATTTGTAATGTTTGAGTATAAGCGTATAGTGCACTGATAAGAAATGTTTTCCCATGTTATGCTGATTAAAAAAAAAGATTTGATGTCACTTTATGATTTTGAAATTGGCTTTCAATAGGAGATAGGACCTAATTGGCCCTTATGGTCCCAAGTCAAGTTAGTCTCTCTTTTTTCTTGTAGTTGCTGGGATGCAGAAGGCATCTCAGATATCACAGGTTCATTGAAGTTTGTTGTTTGTCTTCAATTTAAAACCAGATTCTTTATGTTTAAATAAAGGCTTTCATAAGCACAATAAATATAAATTTGCCAAAGTACATGATACTTAAGGTCAGCTGGCACACATGTTGGCAGGTGTGTTTTAACTAAATTGCTTTTCTCACCATCTGGTAAAGGTGATTTAATAAATTAATTTAACTCGTCTCTAGTTAACTGTTAACCAGTACATGGCATCAACTCTCTTGGCAAATCAATTAACTGTGGGTGATATGTCCCCAACTACTGCAGATAGTTGAGTGTTCTGTATTATCTATTTGGTACATTACTATAATTAGTATTGAGTAATATACCAAGACAGTTTTCTGATAACTGTCATTAGATAATTTACATTACTGTACTAGCAAGTTAATTGATGTGAAAAACCTGTAGAATATACCTTGTTCATCCAGGTAGTAGAGCATGCACAGGAATGCAGTTGTATCTTCAGATCAGAGTGATGTTATGTTGAGTTGTGTTGCATCTTTACGTGTGTGCACACATTCGCAGATGCATGGAAACTTGTACCTGTACATATGACCACACATTTTTGTTTAGAACTTGGGATTTGATATTTCCCAGTAGTCTGTTCGCTTGTGGCTGTTGAAAATTGCATGCCTAGTGGCTGAGTTGGCTACTAGCTATCCTTATAAGATTTATATTTAACATATTTTATGTACTGTACAGTATTTATTTAAATTGTTAAAAGTTAATATTAGTTGATCCTTTAATATAAATTGAACATACTGAATCAATAAAACCAAACTAATGCATGATCACAGTCCAGTACACAACCACTGTGCTCTTAAAAATTATATATATATATATATATATATATATATATATATATATATATATATATATATATATATATATATATATATATATATATATATATATATATATATATATATATATATATATATATATACACACACACACACACAGTGACCCCTCGTTTAACGAACACCTCGGTTAACGTAATTTCGATTAACGAACTGCCTTCCATAAGGATCTTCAATTCGGTTAACGAAAAAAAATTCGGTTAACGAAGTTCTTATGAACCGACCTCAACATGTTTTCGCTTGCACTGATCGGGCAACCAGCTTTAGTATCAGTCCGCCAATACATTAATCGGTTCTAGGGCTTAAATTCCTTACTATTTTAGTAAATATCAAGAAGTTTATACTATTCAATAATTTTAAAAGTTTAATATTCAATTTTTAGTCATTTTAACAATTATTGAACATAATTGAAGGTAAAGTGACTAGTTTAATGCGCGGCATCCAGCCTCTTAACACAGCAAACAGGAGTTAGTCTCTCTCTGTTTTCACTGGAGGTAACATCTTGCTTGAGACTCTTCAACTAAACACTTTTTTTCTGTGTTTCCAAGCAAATTATTGGTCATTTTGAAATATATTTTACATATTGACAATATATAATGCAGTGCAGTGTTGATTTAAAGAAAATAATCTTGAATTACACCAAGAGAGCTAAAATTTTATGGGTGAAATGGCGCCATGGGGTGACTTCTCTTCCACCCCAATGCCTTCTCTTCTTCTTTCTCCTCCACCCCCATTCTAAATCCCATCATCATCATCATCCAGGAGCCTTCTACATACACACCTGAAAGTAAGTGAACTTCTCTACCATATATATTATATATATATATATATATATATATATTATATATACTGTATATATATTATATATATATATATATTATATATATTATATATATATATATATATATATATATATATATATATATATATATATATATATATATATATATATATATATATATATATATATATATATATATATATATATATATATATATATATATACATACACACACACACACCGTATATACTCGTCTACAACCCCCTCCCCCTCGTTTATAGGTCGACCCTGATTTTTTGACCAAGAAATCGTTAATTTACGATATTCCTCGTTTATAGTTCGACCCACGTTTTTGAGGGTAATGGAACAACAAAACCTTCACTAAAAATGCTCTACGTCCTATAAACTGAGGCTCGCCGTGCATGAAACACGAGTGCCGAAGGCAAATTGTGTACCATTTATTATTACAACACTTATACACTGAAACGCGGGTAGTTTCAACAAGAATATTGTATATTTCCATTCAAGTCAATTAGGAGGGAATATTATTGTAATACAACAGTTTTTTAACTAAACCATTCGAAAAGCGATTACGGTAACATCTTTTGAACGAAAGAAAGCGAAAGTCATTGTTTTCGTCACGATTTTATCCCACTTTCCACTTTAATACGTACGTAATTTCAGCAAAAATATTACATTTCCGTGTATGTATTATATCAAGCACAGTATGAATAGAATATCATTGTAATATAACAGAATTTTAACCGAAAACTATTAAAAAAACGAGTAACATTTCAAGAACAGAAGCTTAGGTAAAGTCTTTTGTTTTCGTCATGTATTTTATCCTATTTTACATTGAAATACATCACGTTTCAGCAAAACTACTTTTATTTCCGAGAATATATTCATTCAGGCGCAGTTTAGGTAAAATATACGTGTGATGTAATAGTTTTTTAACTGAAAACAATTCGAAAAACACATACCCTCTAGCCCTGTTCAAGGAGAGGACTGGGAGAAGCTGTTTGGTGCTGCAGACGATGACAAGGAAAATGATTTTGATGGATTTTAATGAAAATATTCAGAAATATGGAATCGTAGTATTTATTCAAGTCAATTAGGATAGAATATTATCGTAATACAACAGTTTTTAACTAAACCATTCGAAAAGCGATTGCGGTAACATCTTTTGAACGAAAGAAAGTGAAAGTCATTGTTTTCGTCACGATTTTATCCCACTTTCCACTGTAATACGTACGTCATTTCAGCAAAAATATTACATTTCCGTGAATGAATTATATCAAGCACAGTATGAATAGAATACTATTGTAATATAACAATATATTAACCAAAAACTTTTAAAAAAAACGAGTAACTTCTCTTGAACATCGGAAGGTTAGGTAAAATCTTTTGTTTTCGTCATGTATTTTATCCTATTTTACATTAAAATATATTAGGTTTCAGCGAAACTACTATTTATTTCCGAGAATATATTCATTCAGGCACAGTTAAGGTAAAATATACATGTGATGTAACAGTTTTTTAACTGAAAACGATTCGAAAAACACGTGTACTTTCTAGCTGATACAGCTGGTGGTGCGTCATGCGTCGTTGTAAACAATAGGAGATTGAAGTAGATTACCGGGTATTATATTAAGTGTGAAATATCGAAAAGGTTTTTATTACCGGTATTTTTTGTAGATCAATGAGAACTGTGATACCGTATATGATATGATAAGTTAGCCTGTGCTAAGAACTTCAACATAGACTACTGAAAGCACTTTGTAAGGTAATTTAGCCTATTGTAAGTTGGTGAGCTTCATTTACTGAAGGAACTGCACAACTTTTCATTACTAATTGGTACATGTTTTACGTTTCCATTGTTTACTGGCAGTAAATGGTAAATATTTTTCATGTCTGAAGCTAAAAGTTGCTCCTCGCCCTTCCCATCATGCACGGGTTCAACCTAACAAAACTATTACGCATGTATAGGACGACCCCCAATTTTTTGCCTAAAAATTTGGTCTTAAAAACTTGAACTATATACGGTGTGTATATATATATATATATATATATATATATATATATATATATTTTATACTAGTTTCTTAAAAAATGCCATTGAATTTCTGTATATGTACAGTAATGTATTTCATGCAAAGGGAGGCTCAGGAACGTAACTCCCATATTTTATCTACTTCTTATGGGGAAAATTGATCCGCTTAACGTAGCGGTTTTCAGGAACAGAACCACTACAATAAACGAGCAGTTTATATCTGTATATACAGTA